AATGGTTATCAAAACAATATTTAAATACGTGAGTGATAATTATGTGAATTTTGGACAGATAGCTAGAAACAAATCGTTAAACATGAGTGTATTCGTAAGAGACATGCTCTAGACTCAATGTTCTGAGTTGCCATAGACTATTTATACATATTTATACCTGACCGCTGACGATGCATACAAGTTAGTTGCAAGTATGCAGTTTATCATAAGGCGGAATACGATTCAATTGAGATATAGTGATTATAAGTTACTGAAATCAGTTAAGTCTATATACTACATTACTAGGTGATATGGTGCTGTAAGATGTACTCGGCCAAATACGTTTTTACAAGATGATTAACCGTGAGTGATGCTCATGTGATTATCAGGGAGTACATAAGTTGTAACCAAGGGGAGTACACTCCCAACTCATGTCCATGATGATGGCTTGAACCTTAGTCAGTGTTGGGGTAAATTCGACATTAATGTTTTCAGTTTGCAGGAGATTTGCTCGACTGCTTATGCTGATTATTTGCATGCATGATTGTGTCGCTAAACCATCAATTAGACTGACAAGGTTTTGAGATATTTACTGAATGAGCAACTAATAGAGAAACATACTGTAATCATCTGTGATGGATGAAGATACCAAGAAAACAACACTAGTGATAATTATAAGTCAATTTGTTGACCGATTTTGTTAATAGTTTCATTAATTTTATCAGTCATATTACGTGATTGTCAAGTTATGACAATGCTTTATGACGATATCCTGAAACTATTAAATTTAACTACTTATAGTGTTGACTGAGGATTAGTCAGTGGAAAAATAGGTATTGTTGCTTTAGGTGATTCGAAATCATCAGAAACTTATAACGTTAAATAATCCGAGACGCCTAATTTAATTATAAATTTCAATTCAGAAATATTCGTTTAGTGTTAATTTTAGTAGGCTACGGAGTTTTGATTTTAAACGTTTGTTTAGCCAACAGCTATCTGGGGATTTGGTTATTTTACTAGTGCAGTTGACAGTACCTAAATTTTTAATCTTATTATCTAAACTATGTTCGCATTTTAGGCTGCTAATATGACAAACCAATCCATAAACCCAAATACGATTAGCAACAACGACTATGATGGGTTTATTGATAAATGTTAAAGGCGATTCAGATGATTTCTAAATTTAGAAGACATGGAGATATAGTGTAACGTATGTATGGGCCAGGTTAACATGCAGGTTGTTGACGTATATGACGATTTAAAAATAATGAGCATGACCAGAAAATAGTTTTAAAGTTTAGACTGCTTGTGAAACTTCAGGCAGGAATATGATGCGTTATAAACATTCCATAAGGAGTTACTGCATTTAGCCTAGGGACACTTACAAATATATAGCAAGAGGAACCGGAAAACATATACATGTTAAGTAAAAAAATCATTAAGTAAAATAGTTGAACTCGCCTGGGTTATTTTTGAAAATTAGATTATTCAGTGGACGACATATATAACGCCATTCGTGAGGAGTAGTAATGATCCAGAATAAAACATGCAGTATGGCAATTAATCCCAGGGTGCTTGATGCTGTTGACGTTTTTGCCACTCGCTCGGATTAGAACAACCGAATGAATTCAGATAATTGTGCGGTCACCATTGAACGAGCCATCTAAAATGACCTTATGATTGCAGAAAACTTATGGCTGAAACTCACCGTGTTTTTAGAGAAGTGTCATCCTTGTTGTTTGGCAATGGAACTCGAAAATTTGAAATTAGGCAGGCAGTGGTCGGAAGAAAAGATATTACAGGATAGTGTATAGTTTAAAACAGGATGAGGTAATAAGATAAGGAACACTGAATATTAGATCCAGGTAACTATTTAGTCCTTGCTGCATTGTTAGTCAATGTATATTTGCGTTATTTACTGGTCATATTTGCTAGAGCTTGATGCTTAAACAAGCCTATGTCGCTGAAGCATGTAAATGCTATTAAAGCTTGTTAACGAACCATCAAAGCTAATTAGTTAATATAGACGACCAGTTTTTATTATCGAATGAGCTAGTTAGTTATGTGAACTAATAGATATAACATTACGATAATATATGTGACCATTAATCAAAGGACTATTAGAATAGTGGGTTTACAAAAATAAAATCCGATTGAGAAGGTTAAGGTGGAAATAAGGATTAACAATAATAGGTTGCGTTTCTTTAGTTGGGCTCACCAATGTAGAATTATGGTCTACTATGATATTAGTACTGCTCTAATAATAGACCTAATCCTAAATTTGTAGATTTGTCATGATATAACTGCCTAATCTATAAGATCTTACGTGGAAGTCACACCATCGACTACACCAACTCACTGTATCGTATCAATTACCAATACATGATGTAGAACAAGGTTAGGCTAGAGAAAGAACAATATATTTAATATGAATAGAAGATATAAAGTAACATTGAGATGGACCACGCCTGCATGGACGAGCCATGCCATCCGATCAAACCCAGTCCATTCAATTCATTCTTCGCGCCTTCTCCATCGTTAGGTATTTATCCGCGTTAAATATTGAACATCTACTTTCTGAGTAGTCTCGTGTTCAGCTTTGTGGATTGTGCGGTTATTGTTCAATGCCACTACACTACTCTCCCACCAGAATCAACGTGATGTTGGTTCGATACCGAATTGGATGGGATCGTCGTGCGCCGAAGGTTACCAAGACTAGGAAAAATCCCCGGGTAATGATAAGCTGAAAGATAAATGAAAAAGGCGGCAGCATCTGGTCGGGAAATACATGTAATAATTTTAAAATATCTGCCTTCATGCTTAAAACGCTTGAAATGAAAATTTGGGTGAAGATTATTTGGGCTATAAAGAATGGGGTTACAATAATAAAAATAATAATAATAATGAAACGATGCGTGTTAATAGCCGTTGGTTAATAACTTAACGTATAGGTAGTAAGTATTTTGTGTTTAGAAATATTAAAGTGATGAATATTGTAGAAATGTTAATATTGGTATTAGTTTTGGTTTAAATTATGAAATCAAATAACGATTATGCCGGTAAGTTGTCCATATGAGTTGAATTCCAATTGCATCTGTATTAGTAGGCTAACTGAAGGAACAAAAGTATACCGTGGAGAAGAATTCCAACTAGTGTTCCAGTTAGTTTGATACGGTTTATTTAGTTACGGGGAGATTTTCTCAACCTCATTTTTACTTGACCGTGATAGAATTTAGTAATACTACTGATACACATGAATGGTTATCAAAACAATATTTAAATACGTGAGTGATAATTATGTGAATTTTGGACAGATAGCTAGAAACAAATCGTTAAACATGAGTGTATTCGTAAGAGACATGCTCTAGACTCAATGTTCTGAGTTGCCATAGACTATTTATACATATTTATACCTGACCGCTGACGATGCATACAAGTTAGTTGCAAGTATGCAGTTTATCATAAGGCGGAATACGATTCAATTGAGATATAGTGATTATAAGTTACTGAAATCAGTTAAGTCTATATACTACATTACTAGGTGATATGGTGCTGTAAGATGTACTCGGCCAAATACGTTTTTACAAGATGATTAACCGTGAGTGATGCTCATGTGATTATCAGGGAGTACATAAGTTGTAACCAAGGGGAGTACACTCCCAACTCATGTCCATGATGATGGCTTGAACCTTAGTCAGTGTTGGGGTAAATTCGACATTAATGTTTTCAGTTTGCAGGAGATTTGCTCGACTGCTTATGCTGATTATTTGCATGCATGATTGTGTCGCTAAACCATCAATTAGACTGACAAGGTTTTGAGATATTTACTGAATGAGCAACTAATAGAGAAACATACTGTAATCATCTGTGATGGATGAAGATACCAAGAAAACAACACTAGTGATAATTATAAGTCAATTTGTTGACCGATTTTGTTAATAGTTTCATTAATTTTATCAATCATATTACGTGATTGTCAATTTATGACAATGCTTTATGACGATATCCTGAAACTATTAAATTTAACTAGTTATAGTGTTGACTGAGGATTATTCAGTGGAAAAATAGGTATTGTTGCTTTAGGTGATTCAAAATCATCAGAAACTTATAACGTTAAAGAATCCGAGACGCCTAATTTAATTATAAATTTCAATTCATAAATATTCGTTTAGTGTTAATTTTAGTAGGCTACGGAGTTTTGATTTTAAACGTTTGTTTAGCCAACAGCTACCTGATGATTTAGTTATTTTACTAGTGCAGTTGACAGTACCTAAATTTTTAATCTTATTATCTAAACTATGTTCGCATTTTAGGCTGCTAATATGACAAACCAATCCATAAACCCAAATACGATTAGCAACAACGACTATGATGGGTTTATTGATAAATGTTAAAGGCGATTCAGATGATTTCTAAATTTAGAAGACATGGAGATATAGTGTAACGTATGTATGGGCCAGGTTAACATGCAGGTTGTTGACGTATATGACGATTTAAAAATAATGAACATGACCAGAAAATAGTTTTAAAGTTTAGACTGCTTGTGAAACTTCAGGCAGGAATATGATGCGTTATAAACATTCCATAAGGAGTTACTGCATTTAGCCTAGGGACACTTACAAATATATAGCAAGAGGAACCGGAAAACATATACATGTTAAGTAAAAAAATCATTAAGTAAAATAGTTGAACTCGCCTGGGTTATTTTTGAAAATTAGATTATTCAGTGAACGACATATATAACGCCATTCGTGAGGAGTAGTAATGATCCAGAATAAAACATGCAGTATGGCAATTAATCCCAGGGTGCTTGATGCTGTTGACGTTTTTGCCACTCGCTCGGATTAGAACAACCGAATGAATTCAGATAATTGTGCGGTCACCATTGAACGAGCCATCTAAAATGACCTTATGATTGCAGAAAACTTATGGCTGAAACTCACCGTGTTTTTAGAGAAGTGTCACCGTTTCCTTTAATAATTCCACAAGCCATGAATACGAATAGACTGCAGTAATTATCATCAGGTAGACAATGACACGTGTAAAATACACGTCACAATAACCAGAATGTAGAAATGACGGAACAACCGTAGATTACGCCGATTTATAGCTGCTTTACCATCTGTTTGAGAAGCTGCTTTTAAAAGTCTAATAGACCAAACAACAGGGAATAAAATTGCTCCACAACATGCTAAATCGACAAAAATGAAAATTTCTTTCCATGTAGCATAACGAGCTGCACCAGCTTCAGACTCTTCAATAATTATAGTAGCAATATTGGCTAAAACTTGAAGAGGTACCACAATCAAGAACACATTACGTTCACGCGGTGTTAACATATGTTTGATAAAGGCCCAACCAGCACCAATCAGTAATATAGTGATAAATAGAAGTGCACCTCGAATAATATGAGTAATATAATACATAACAGCCCAACTTTCTTCATGAGCACCATGTTTCCCAATCACATAATAATTTACATTATGAAAGCCAAGTGAAATTGATTTGACAACAGTAACTGCTAACATGAGATAATGAATTCGATAAACCGAATTTTTTGATTTGCGAAGGTAAACAAACCAGAAAATACTAAGGAACAAATAAGCCAAACAAGAAATTGCATAAAGCATAGGCAATGGTTGTTGACCAGCAGATAAATAACTGTTTACATTCTTCTCAACCATTTTTAATGTTAAGTTAACTGAATGACGTTTACCAGATTCTACATTTAATTCAGCACAATTATGAAAGTACAGATGATATAAGCCTTCTTCAGATGTATTCAAAAAACGAACTGTAAAATTAGCACTTATTACATTGTCTTTCATTTCGTACGGAATCCGCTGTAATGAACCAAAAGGAGTAATTTGAGATAAAATGATTTCGAAAACTTTTTGCAACTGTGAATCATCACTTGGTTCAATGTGATTTTTAGCTTTACGACCTGGGAATTGTTGCTCTTCATCCTTAGTATTTTGTGAGTATTCAGCAACTTCACGTAGAAGTTGATAGACAAGATACTGTTGTCGATGAAGTTCCAATACATTCATAAATTTGACTTTTTCTATAAGTTTCGGTTCAGATAATATTATGGCATTTATTGCTTTAGCCAACGAAAGGCTTCTGTCAGTAACCAACCGCAAACAGGTAAGAGCGTATTGAATATTGTCAATCAAACCTATGGGTTTGATATCAGGTTGACCATCCTCTTCCATTTTTAAGAAGAGGCTTCAAAAATTACACCTTTATAATTTGGATCATAATTGTGTATCACCAGTGATTTGGATGATTTGTCAAATGAGAGATAAATAAATTTAAATGACTTATCCCAAAAACAAGAATTTGACTTGGATTCAATAAGTGACGTTACTCCAGAATCCCCAGCCTTATCCAGAGTAAAAGTTATATATTGTAAATCACCTTCCAGTTTCTGGATAAAAACAGAGAGAAATGAATCCTTTGCAAACCCGAAATTACTGCATAAGACTGACTTACGACCATCGTTCTTTAGATTAAGGATGTGTCATCCTTGTTGTTTGGCAATGGAACTCGAAAATTTGAAATTAGGCAGGCAGTGGTCGGAAGAAAAGATATTACAGGATAGTGTATAGTTTAAAACAGGATGAGGTAATAAGATAAGGAACACTGAATATTAGATCCAGGTAACTATTTAGTCCTTGCTGCATTGTTAGTCAATGTATATTTGCGTTATTTACTGGTCATATTTGCTAGAGCTTGATGCTTAAACAAGCCTATGTCGCTGAAGCATGTAAATGCTATTAAAGCTTGTTAACGAACCATCAAAGCTAATTAGTTAATATAGACGACCAGTTTTTATTATCGAATGAGCTAGTTAGTTATGTGAACTAATAGATATAACATTACGATAATATATGTGACCATTAATCAAAGGACTATTAGAATAGTGGGTTTACAAAAATAAAATCCGATTGAGAAGGTTAAGGTGGAAATAAGGATTAACAATAATAGGTTGCGTTTCTTTAGTTGGGCTCACCAATGTAGAATTATGGTCTACTATGATATTAGTACTGCTCTAATAATAGACCTAATCCTAAATTTGTAGATTTGTCATGATATAACTGCCTAATCTATAAGATCTTACGTGGAAGTCACACCATCGACTACACCAACTCACTGTATCGTATCAATTACCAATACATGATGTAGAACAAGGTTAGGCTAGAGAAAGAAGGAGGCTCGATGGCCTATGTTAGTCCTGGGAATGGTTGTCTCTCAGTTGATCGAACTTTCTTTTGATAGAGTCGACGGATGGAGCCTCAACCACGTGCTGAGTTAGTGAATTCCACTCGTTGATGTTTCGATGGGAAAGTCGATAGTCAGCTGACAAGTAATTTGTTCTCGGCTTATGAACTTTTTTGGAGTAAATTATCTGTTTTGGAAGACAAAAAAAATGAGGGCATGTTAGGTGCAAATTTATCACTAAGCAATTTGTAGACTGTAATCAAGTCGCCTCTAGTTCTGCGATATGACAACGGGAAAAGGTTCAGCTTGGCCAGTCGAGATTCATACGGAAGCTTCGCTATTGCGGGAACCAGTTTAATCGCCGTTCTCTGAACCTTTTCCAGAAGCAGGGGCTAGCCGCTTGTATGCAGTACTCAAGTTTAGGACGAACGAACACTGTATACAAAGTCAAAAACGTCTTAGCGTCGACATGACTAAAAGCCCTACGTATTGACCATAACGTTCTAAAACCTTTGGAGGCTATTGCACGGCAGTGTGCAGTAGTCTTTAAGTCTTGACTAACGATAACTCCTAAGTCATTATATGTCTGGACGACAGGTAGCCCAGTGTTATTCATCGTGTATGTATCTGTGCCTTGATGACCGATATGCATCACAACACACTTGGAAGTATTTATCGGCAACTGCCATGTTTGAGACCATTCAGATAACTTCTTCAGGTCATTTTGAAGTTCTAAGCTATCACTCTTACATCGTATCGTTCTCCATATCTTGACATCGTCAGCATATAGCAAGACCGATGATGATAGGAGACAAGGAAGGTCATTTACATACAAGAGGAATAGCACTGGCCCCAAAACTGTACCCTGGGGCACTCCACTAAGCACAGTTTCCCAGCTAGATAACTTTGAGTTCACCCTTACTCTTTGTTGACGCCCAACTAAGAAGTCTTTTATCCACATCAATAAATTACCTTCAATCCCGACATGTCTTAACTTATATAACAGCCGGTTGTGCGGAACTTTATCAAAAGCTTTGCTGAAATCAATGAAGGCGACGTCTACAGGTAGCTTTTGGTCCTTAAGAGCACACCAGCTTTCACGAGCCACTAATAAGTTAGTGAGACAAGAATAACCTATTCTGAAGCCATGCTGCTTCTCCGAGAGGATCCGGTTTTTATCGAGATACTCAAACAGCTCCTTCCGAATAATCTTTTCTAATATTTTAACAACCACACTAGTTAGGCTAACGGGGCGGTAGTTCTCAGGTTTGTGTTTCGTGCCTGTTTTGAAGACAGGACTTACTATGGCGTTTTTCCAATCTTTCGGTAAGCGACCCTGCGTAACGGATAGGTTAAAGCATGTACTTAAAGGGTTCGCAACGAAGTTAGATAATTCCTTCAGTAGCCTAGGATGTAATTCATCGGGCCCCGTGGATTTACCTATGTCAAGCTTATTTAGCAGACCAAAGACATCGAGTTCTTTAATGGTCACGCTATCCAGTGTATGTATGGGGGGATCTGTATACGCTGACGAGAAGGGCGCTTCTATGGTATACACGTTGCTAAACTAGTTCGAGAACGCTTGAGCCTTACCAAAGTCGTCCTCCACTAATGATGAAGCAGTACTGTCTCCCCATAGAGCAGGAATATTTCCTTTTCTCCTTGTCCTTTGGTTTATATAGGAATACAAGCGTTTAGGACATTCTATGGATTCCTTAACAAGTTTTTCTTCGTACAATTTTCTAGACTTACGGAGGGTCGAGGCACAAGTGTTCCGAGCCTTTCGATACTGAGATTTTGACTCATCAGTCCCCAGTAACCTAAATCTATCCCATGTTTTCCTTTTTTTACGGAGAAGGATACGGACCTCCCTACTGAACCATGGTGGTGAGTTTTTCGGCCCCTTTGGTATAGTCCAAGGGATGTGAGGTGTGGTAACTTTTAAGTATGATTTTCGAAATGCGTCCCAGGCCGTTTCAATGGAGGACTCTGGGTCTATTGTCCAATCTATTAACGATGCTGAGTGCATGATGTCTGGTATGTTTGCTTTCCAGACGTTGGGTCTGGACTGGACTGACACGTGCTCTTGACTGACAGTTATATGGAAGTCGAAAGTTAAAACTGCGTGGTCACTTTTACCTAAAGGTGGCATATGGTGGAGGTTCGCAACATCATCCTCATAGTGAGTCAGTATAAGATCTAATAAGGATGATTCAGTGTCCGGGTCGTACCTAGTCGCTTCTTTCACATGTTGCACTAGGGCACATGTGATAACCGCATCAACTAGTTCCTGCTCGAAGGAATTTTCTGACGATTCAGTTCGCAGATTTTCCCAGTCTACCATAGGTGCATTAAAGTCCCCTAGGATTAGACATCGACCACTTTGGGACCAAGTATTGAGACTGCTTAACAGGATCTCATTTGCCCCACAGCTTGGACTGCGATAGACCAAACCAATCAGCAGCTCTTGTCCCTTGCATTTTAAGCGAAGACTAACTAATTCACACGTCCCACTCTCATGGGATACACTATCGATAATGGTAAATGGGATAGCATTCCTAATGAATAGAGCTACTCCCCCTCCTTTGCGCTTATGTGTTCTGTCAGCCCTTACTAACGTAAAACCCTCGAAATCAAGTTCTATACTGTCTATAGCCTGTGTCAGCCAGGTTTCTGTTACTGCGATTATATCTGGCTTTATAGAGTCAATCTGTACACCTAGTTCCGATCGCTTATTAAGTAAGCTTCGTGCATTGGTGTAACAGATCCGAAGCCTGTTTAAGTGCCTTCGTGCTTCACCCAGAGTGGCTTCGGCATCATTCTCTGTCGAAGTCTTACAACCCGAAAATTTACAATTTTCAGGTCCTTTTCGCCAGCGTCTAACCTATGTTGTAGTTCTTTCTCGGCTTCCCGTCTTTTACCACGGTCTGCAAACGGTAGGTCCTTTCAGATAAAGACTCCTGAACCCTTTAATTTGTGTCCATTTTGTAAAATTAGGTCACGTTCGTTTGAAGAGCCGAATACTACTTTAAGCAGTCTGGAATGATTTGGTTTCGAGTCCGTTAGACTCCCTAGTCTATACACCTTTAGCAAGGTGACCCCAGTCATATTTTGAGGCATGAGTTGATTAAGCAGCTGCCTAATCAGTACAATGTCATGCTCAAAACGAGCTTTAGGTTCAGAGCTATCGCTCTCCTTAATTCTATGAAAAATAGCTGATCTGTCGCTATGATCAGCTTTCGGTTTTTCAACCACTTTTGCGGGGGCAGGTTTCCCTTTTATATCAATACTTTTCTTCCTTACAACCTTTACCCATTCGTCAACGCTGCTGGTAGAAGCAATAGCAGTTGCGTCAAACCTAGTGTTGGGTTTTGGGGGGTTGTCGACGACCTGAGGGGTCGTGTTATGTTTACCATTTGAAACCGATCGAGACTTGCGATTGCGGCTCCTAGGTGTTTCCTGTTGGATCCCATCTGGGAGACGGGGAACAGAAGACCCTACTTTTCTTGAGCTTTTTTTAAAGCAGGCCCCTTTGGAGACTGCTTTTCCTTCTTTGACGGGCGTGAGTCATCTATCACCGGACTCACTTTAGTTTCCTTCACATTGATTTGCGTGTCAACAGATCGAGTGCTGTCTGACGCGTTCCGACTATGCTTGTTGAAACACTTCTTTGCAGCATCAACCAGTGAGATGACCTCGGTTAACAAGCTGTTTGCATCCGAGCAGCACTGTTGACAAAGCCACACACAACCCTTCTTACTGAACCGTTTGAAAGCAGCAGGCGTTAAGTTCGTGCAAACTTCGTGGTACCAGCCTTTGCACTCGTCGCACTGCATGCCGCTTTCAACAGGATAACGACAACCCGGACGTCGGCAACTGCTTTTTTTACACTGTCCGGTCATTTGGGAGGGGTTTTTTAATATGCGATGATACCCAGAAACAAAAAAATTATCAATGACCAAAAAAGTGAAGAGCTGTAGATTGCTGGGACCAAAAGTACTAACAGATACAGTTGAAAAAGAGGTACTAGAGTACCAACGACAAAACAGTAAAAACGATACTTTAGTCGAATACTTTAACTGAAATAAATTCAATTAAAGTGAAAAACAGTAGTCTTGATACGTAATAAACGATCAAAACAATGAAATTTACTCAGCGAGGAAAAATACCACTGTCCTTTTTAAATAGCGCGCGTGATATCTTAATATATATATATATTATCCGCGTTAAATATTGAATATCTACTTTCTGAGTAGTCTCGTGTTCAGCTTTGTGGATTGTGCGGTTATTGTTCAATGCCACTACACATTCAGTTAAAAAACGCGTCTTGTGGCGTAATTTTTAATCGCCGAAGAGAGTCCGTGTTATAAATGCTAATTTCTGATTGTGTATATTTTGACACCGGTTCGTCTTCTTAACAGTCAAGATCTGGGATGAAAATGTTGGGGGTGTCGAAGTGGAATTACAACTTCCACCATTGTGTTAGTATTTTTCGATTGCGTAGTCAAGTGTAAGGTACATCAGTAACCATGCTGTGTATGTATTACTTCTGAAAATCGATCATGCTTGGTTTCTTCACTGATTTGTCATTAGGGTCTTAATCGATGACATATTAGAATGTGTACTTCTAGATATTAAGTCGTGGCCTCCTGGTCCTACTATTCCGCTGAGATAGCTGACAATGAGAGGTCTCTTTTAGGGTATTGTCTTTACCTAATTAACGTATGTTATCGAAGACGTTCATAACCATAGACCAAGTGGGCACTGGTGTCGTATCTCCCTTCGGTCAACATTAGGTTGATATGTCCAGCTTCTTCCGGGAAATCATAGTCTACGACGCTTAGCATCTGCCATCGGGTTTGCGATGTGTTGGTCGGTTATTATTTGTGGAAATAAACCGATTGTCGTGAGTGGTGTACCTCCGTTTATATGATTTAGTATGGGGATCTGTCATTTAGTGCCACGATATATCTAAAGTGATCCTATGCCACATATAAATCTTAGCAACGTAGATTAAGGTAGGACCATTTTGAAATCCACATAAGTAAGAAATCCTTCTCTTGATAATTGTCGCTTCCCTACCACTTTGATTATGTCAGAAAATGAGAAGGGAAACTTTTATTACTTTCTTCCAATGTACTACAACAGACGAGTGTTATGTTTCGGGCACTCCAATGCATAATTTTTTATTAGGGAAAGAGGTGCTGGACTTCATATCGACATGTATTATTTCAGTGAAACTAAGAGAAGTGGGTATATAAATAGCCGATGTTACAATAAAGTGCCACCAAAAATCATCTATTTACAATGGGCTGAGTTGATATATCCATTATTGCTTCAGATATAGCCAAAGGTTCACAATAATAAAAACTGATGGGGAATATGAATACATAAACATCCATATTATCATGGAGAAAGCGTGCTATCCTTACGCTGATTTTGCATTCAGTTATTCGTTGAACAGTTGCGAAGTTATCTAAGTTACTGAAACCGATCGGTCACAATAGTTGTTGATTATTCCAGTAATTTCCCAATATACTACTATCTTTTTTGTGACAGCAGTTTGAGTTGAGTCGTGAGGGATTCATGTTGTAAACTAGCCTGCAAAGTTTGGACGATATTTAATGACTCCGATACCTCCTGGAATGTCCACTTCGCAAGCATCCGTCTTCGCATTTTGCAGTAGTGCCTAGAAAGCTCACATACCTTAAGTAGATTGTTGACAAAGACTTAAGATCAGTTTCAGTTCGGGAAGGACAGAAGGCCTGATGGCCTGCGTTAGTCCTTGAAGGAATTTCGTCATTAACAACCCGTATATTTTTTTACCTGGCAGTATTGATAGTAATATATAGCTGAACCGGCGCATTACTTGTGAAAATTTAAGTAAATTTCTGACTAATCCACCCACAACTTAACGTGGTAGCCCATTGGAATTTCATACTGCACAGGTTTTTATGTGCAATGAAGCAATAACGAGAACCTCCGGTTCAAAATTTGACTTGCTATTCCGCGCCACATAACCAAGAATTATTTTTCACTCTCTGGACGACGTAGTTCCCGAATTATTATTTCAGACGCTTAAGCACATATTTAACGGTTGGAACGTGATAGCAACAACAAAGTAAGTGCAATTGACAAAAATAATCTATATGTGTTCCTTTGTTTTAAGGTACGAAAGCCTGATGATTGAAAGCTTTTTCTAATGCGTTCACAACTATTTGTTTAATATAAGTCAACTCTTGATTCCTACCACTGAAGTTTGAAGAGGTGAGTTTGTTCACTCAAGGTCACCTGTTGGTTCGCGATGTCGGTACGTCAAGTGCTTGTTTTGATCACTATAGCTAGGAAGATATTGAAGTAACGCATGAGGATCAACAAAGGATAAACAGCTTTGCAACGTGGAACTTAAAATTTAAAGATTATACATCCGATTACGACCAAAAAAAAGTGTGAATATATTTTGTTCTGTATGTAATAATGAATTTTAGAAAGAGCTGGCAAATATGAATGATGCTGAGGATGAGTTAGTTGTCGTCCAGGAGAGCTTACACCCGTATCCTCTTGACGTCCGTTTATTTTTGATATTATCCCTGCATGTACATAAATTTATTATGCATAGTGGTCGATGTATTGAACCATGCACTAGCCTCAATAATAACTGCAAATCATAGTTGTTACTCTGATTTGCTTCTTCAAATACCCACCAGCTCCCATCTAACTCTTCGCAGTTATCTGGGAGCACGCGCTCTACGAATTTAAAAGCTTAGTCCTAACGTGATTTGCTAGTTTTAGTATGTCCTAAACTCTTGTACCATCTGTTTATCCATTCCACTCTCTCTGTGTGTATTTCTTTTTGTTTTTTTGGTCGCAAACCTTTATAGGATCTACCTAACAACCCACATTTCACCATGGTCATGGTGTACTCGTGTAAGCGACCTGGATGCCGTTTTGTTGTTACCTGTAGCATACAATGTGACGAATGCGTTAAGGCGCATTTTTGACCAGTTCAACGGCAGAAGTCTCCACTAAGTTTAACAGTTCTACTTGACCCTACTTAGAGTATAAAAACATAGTGCTCTCTCACTCAGAAAGGACTAGAGTACATTGAAACGTATCCAACGATGAGCCACGCAATCAGTTCGGGGACTTAAACTCAAGCCTTATGACGAGCACCTCAAATTACTTAACATTAACTCACTAAAGTATAGACATCGCAGAAATGAACTAGTGACGTTGTGTTCCAAGCACCCCTGGGAACCACTTTAACTACCTACTTAAGCTTAACCTTAAGGGTAACACTCAGAAATTAGAGATACGTAGCAGAATGCATTGTAGGCATACTTTCTACTTATTACGAGTGATCAAGTTCTGGGATCTGATGCCAACTAAGGTAGTCAAAGAGCCTTACTATGAGTCCTTCTAGACAAAACCTGACTTATTTCTAAAGACAATATCGCTATAATTTACTTATTTCTTTCTTTTCGCTGTTAAATATAATTAGGTTCCTACCTGGACACGCCGGTGATCCACTATTGCTAGTTACGAAAGCCTGTTAAGCGAAAGCTTTTATTTCGTCTAGAATCATTTAGTTATGTATAAGTCACACTTTATGTCACCGAAAGTTTATGTGGATCCTGCGTTCAGTAATTACGTACTTCTGATTCCATTGTCCTAATTTTGTGTACAACGTTGCTTATATTAGTTTGTGATATGTAACATGCGTTCTGACCATTAAAAACCACTGGATCAATATTCTTTCAAACCTTGTTCTCAAAGCTTAGGAGAGCTCACTTGAATTAATTATGACCATCTCAATAATCATCTTTGTGGGGTTTTAGAAGCAGAACAGACGTACGGTAGCTCTTTCACGATGTTCTGTCATGTTTGGGTCATGATGTAAGACACCCTGTCTCATTGTTCCAAGATTTGCAGAAGTGAAGTCCAAGAAGTAGCGTATTTCGTGATTTCACATTCAAAAACATACTTCTGGATACTCAAAACACTTCTAGTGGTTAACTTATGTGTTCTCCGACATATGACGCCCTCATTATACTTCATTTACATTCACTTTTCCTATAATTACCTACGAGGTTACGAATTCACACTACAAAATTGCAAAATTGGTGTGTAGATCATGGATAAGTCACTTAAAGCTTGTGTAAAATTACTAAGCTTATTTTCATGGAGGTTGTTCGTTACCTCCGGCTATCATCCATTTTCCTTCTTTAAAGGAACTTCTAAGCACCAATTGTCAACGTCATTACAGTGCTTGTATGTGGCTGGTCGGCTTGTTCCTAATTGTTCTTCTATAGACTCAACAACTGTCCAAGTTAGATCTACATGGTTGAATGCTGGTAAAACCTGATGGCTTCTCTTTCTAAATCTAGAACCGTAACATCTAAATCATTCCAGAGCGATGAATAAAAGACATGCTAATTAATCCTTTGGATTTGTTTTTTACTCGACACCTTGGGAACATTTTTAATCCGGTTCTTAATATATGTAAGCAAAGGCTAATTAGGCAAATTATATATCCACATAAGGCCAGCTGATTTGTCGATTTGTATTATTATACTTTACTAATAAATATGTATTATGTAATTAACTAAAACAACCTTAAAAGGTAAAAAGATATCTTATTGGGGAAACATTTTTCCACTTGTCAAATGATGAAGTTGGAGAAGAGCTCTCAGCAGCCAAAGAAAAAGTGAAATTGCGAATGGTGGACCTCGAAGAACGAATCAGCGACTGCAAAGTTCACATGAACAATTTAAAGAAAGATCTTTATGGCAAATTCGGAAATCATATTAATCTCGAAGAGGACTAGTATAATGCCGCTTTCGAAAAGTATCAACCAGTATACTACAAGAGTTCGCGTATTTATTGGAGCCAAACTAATTATCTGTATCAATTGTATTTCTAATAAACAATTCTAAAAAAATACAGTTATGGTAAGGCAGCAAAGAGAAAGCAGAGATAAAAATGGCAGTAAAGGAGTTTCTTCGAAATAATTTAAATTAAGAGGTTAAAAAAATGAGTTATCGATTACGAAATTTGTATGTTCGGTTCTGAGCGCATCCAAAAAATAGGTTTATTCAAATCTCGGAAAGACAAAATGTGTAACTATTGAATGCATACTAGTATGATAAATGCAAAGGAACACACTATATACAACTATTAAAAGGTGTAACAGGATTAGTGACTTTTGACTGATAGTTAATAAATTGAAAGCATAGTTTGAATGGCATTTCTTAACAACATTCACATATTATTAGAAGTAATGAATTGTGGCCTGGAAGCTTTTATAGAAGGTGCCAAGCGGCTGGATCCTATGTACCACCAAAGATTTGAGGAGTTAATAGACGCTTTTCGCAAACTGTCTGATCTAGGACCATGATGCATACGGGAACTTTCGGAGGATTTCGAGAAATTAGATTGTATAAAAGAACCAGATATGAAAGGGCGATGTAGTCCTTCTACAAACCCACTATCTCGCATAGTAGACGTCCGGCCACTGTGTTGTATAGAAAAGTTCGAGCCATTCTTTGAAGAGTTACGCACCAGAGTATGGGGTGAAGTAATTAGACGTGGTACTGATTTAATACCGTGATTTTGACTTAGAAAATGATTTTTCGAAAAAGATACTGAGCTAACAGTTAAGGATGCTACTGAATGGTTCCCATGAATGTCTTTTTGAGAAGACAAATGTAATTGTTTACTTGGACAACTTGATCGTTTTCTGCTACCTTTACCGTTAATTTCTGCATTCAAAATCCCTGAAGAGAACGATGCTTCCATGCATGAACTGCAGTTCTTTATAATTTGGTCGTTAGTTTTATTCGATTTCCCCCCATCCGACAAACTAAAGCATCTTCGTAAGTTGCTAGTAGAAAAGCTATCGTAGGATATCGCATGGTTTTGGGGTGGTTGATTTGCAGGATGACTGGGAACATAATACTCATCTTTAGCAGTTTTTATTGCTTGAGATGTCTTACCTTTCTGAGGATGCATAATCTGATCTTCAACGCATGACAGGCGACTGGGACGCCAAGAAAGCCGAAGATGTTGAAATCGATCCAAAAGCCACTTCAAAAAACCTGGGGAATGAACTGAATTGTAGACGATTAGAATAGTCGTGGTATACAATGAGGTAAAGAATAATCATTTCAGAATCCTAAAAATTCGATATTTTTCTAAATGATAACGCGGAGTTTCATACAGTTGTTTTACAACAAGGATTATGAGTTTCGAAGTTGAACGAAATCGTTCTTGTCAAATGGCAACTATGTTTTTAAGGTCTTGTGGTAACCAAATTGTCGTGCGATCAATTGGATAGGATTTATTGATTCTCATCTACCGACCCGTGGGAACATAATGAGCTAATATTCTTGTGGAACCTTCCTCATGAAAAAAAAACCAATAACTGCTAGCGGCAGCTTCGTATGAATAATAGAACACAGGTTTCTTCTGAGACTATCAGAGAGATTATATAATGAGTTGATAGCTTCTTAAAAATAAAATAAGTGATCGAAAAGAACTTCGATATCGTTGCACTCTATCACGCAAAAACCAGAGACACATGAACATTATGTGGTTCAAATTAAAAAGACTTCGGAAGCATTCAATGAAAAAAAAGGGAGTTAGATTGGACAAGAATCACACCATACGATAGATTTACAGTCAGTGATCTAATGGATTAATACTATGCTCCGCTATGACCACTGTGGTTTTGTCCCAAATATAAGCGATTATGTGAGATACGTAGCACGCCACAAACATCATTGATGCAGATAAATAAATGAATCGGATTGGTTTTTACGCTTGGGATTATTAACTTTATGGTTGCATCGAGATATGCTTGTTTTTTAGTCGGTTATTCATATGCATCGTGGAACTTGACAATATATATTATATACATGCCTTAAGAGCGCAATGCTGACAAGTTAAAAGCAGTAAAAGATCGCGTGACTGTTTTCTAGCACTGTCCCTTAAGTTGTCAAGACTACTGATCCAGTTTCTTTTTCAGGTAACTCTGAAAATTTCAATAGTTGAGATCATGAGTCAATTGAAGCTAGACCACCGTGGAAAACCTGAAAGCACTGGAAGGCCGTTTCGTCCCGTCTTGGGACTCCTCAGCACTGCGCATACAGTGCTTCCAGGTTTTCCATGGTGGTATAGCTTCAAATGACTCATGATCTCAACTATTGAAATTACTACAATCTCCACAAAACTTCTGATACCAACTCAAGAAATGTAGACATTTTTCACATGTGCCAAAAGATTAACGATCTAAGTTCCTGGAGTAGTACTTCTATTTTAATGGGATCGACTTCCATGAAACGACATTACGTGGTCGAAATTTATGTCAAGCTAAAGTACCCATTTTTTGAGGGTTCTAGAAAACTTCGTTGGGATGTATTAATGATTGTATACAGACTGATAGATATTGTAAAACATTGGAATTCTTAACGTCGGAACAAGATTTGTCCTAATTTCAGAACCCTTAAACAATGGGCACTCAACCAAACAGATTTGTTGAAAAATGCACATAATCGATCTGGAAAGAAATCTTTTGCAAAGAAAATCTACTATCGATAACTTTCCACCAGAAATAAAATCACAATTCATGGATTATATTGACATTGTAGCAAAAAGCAGACCCGAAAAAATTATGGAGAAAACTAATAATACCACTTGCATGTTAAAAACCAAAAAGGTTCCCTTTGGGCCTAGAGCGGTAAGTTCATGATTTTCCTAGTGTTCGGTTAGATATAGCACAACTAGAGGCTTTATCGACCGGCCCTAGATTCTGCAACTATAGGAATATAATAAATCAACTAGATACAGATGTTCAGTTTTTGGATTCATTTTTACGAACAACAGATTTGGTCCCAACCTCACTAGATGAAATTACTAGATTTAAGATCACGTTAGTTGAAATCTGCCAACAATGCAAAAATAAAGTGTGAAATCACCACTTACCAAACAGCATCAAGGTGCTTTTCATATGTTTATAAAATACAACGCTGATCATAAGCAAGCCAAGTAAAAGAGGGCTAGTTCTAATAAACAAAACTGATTACGTCGATAAAATAAACTCGATTTCGAGTGATCCCAGACCGAAGGCCCTGGGTTCGAATCCTGCAAGCAGGATCGTGGGTGCGCACTGTTTGGGAGTCCCACATAGGACGAAACGGCCGCCCAGTGCTTCCAGGTTCCCAATGTTGGTGTAGCATCAATTGGTTCATGATCTCAATCAAATACTTAGTAATCTCTACAACCCGATACTGATAGTTATCAGGAAGAAAAATGGTTCGATTAATGGATGTGTACAGAAAAACTTCTACATTAACCTATTACGCGCACTTCTTGAGTATTGTATCCACTAATCACAAGAGGAACCTAGTTAGACGTCTTACAAGTAGAGCTAGGAGGATGTAATCAGACACTATAAACATGGAGCTAGAGCTCATTCATAATATGATGACTAAAATATGTTATACGCAAGGTTTTATGAAGAAACACTCGCATGTATCGAGCACGAGAATAGCGTCGTCAACGGTCAGTAAGGAACCTTTCTTCATAAACCTATAGTTCGGCGGAGATATAGCTAGTGATGTACTACAAGACATATTGACTAAAACAAGATGTTTCCAGACAGTCGATGATGATTTTTCAAAGCGTAAGTTATCTGGTTTTACCAAATTTATGAGTATCTAAAAATCCAGCCAATCCTGTGGAGAAAATTGGGAAAGAGTATCACCAAAACAACACGCAACTATATTCTATCACATCTGATCAGCAAATCGTTCAAAGTAATTTATCATATACCTAAAAGTTTCCCTTATTCGGTTCGATCTCATCCCTTACACATACCAGAAGCTATAAAGATTCGAGTTAACAATCTAATTCTGTGCACTCTTATGAAATTTGTAAAACCCTCACCTCCTCTTTGGGAGAATCAGCATTAATAAACTAACTTATCTATGATTTTCCATACTCTTTGTCCGTTTATTTACCTACAACCTCATTTTTTCAAATATACGCTTCATTTTCCAATTATCAGAACACTTCTAGTTACGCAATTTTATAATTTTAATAAACGTTATCTGTGTCCATTCTTTCAAATCGTTGGCCTACTTTCTACCATGAAAAATTGGTTCAAGCCTTTATTATTCTATTCACAACTAGTACACCTGTCATCACAATATCAGTTTGTAATTTTTACTTATTTATGTGATCTATTCCCCAGTTATCATCGGCTCATAAACTGACTTGATTTTGTAATGACTTCATATATGCACATCAATATTTCTGTGTTTTACAGGCTGATGATGATCTAACTAAAAACCGTATTGTCCGCATATACATTTTGTTTCAAAGTGATATTCTCCATGAAGTCGTTTGGGATAATGTCCAAACAGCAGGGTTATTTATTAGTGTCTTAACCTAAGAGGTCAAGGAAGATCATTGGACGTAGGCGGTATTTATTAGATTAACAGATGTTCAGAAACTCATCTCATCAGACTCCGAACATGATGAAGAACGGAGACAACCCAAATATAGACTGACCAAAAGTATGTAAAACGACTATGAGTGGCGGTGAAAGACGGACGTGAAAAATGGAAAACACAGCGTCGATAGATACAAATAGATAACTTTTGAAACTTATTGGAAAGAAAGGTCATAAAGTCATTTGTTGGTCGGTCTGTTTGCGAAAAAGCTGAAACCCTGATCTATTTTTAGCCCAAACGACTGGAACGATGAGCAAAATAGCTACAGGAGCTTTCAATTGCTACCCAGTAGCCTATAACTACCAAATGATCTAGATAGCAAATCATCATCCCACTGAGACTATTGGTCGAATTGAAAAGGTCATAGCAAATGTGAAGCAAGGGAGCAGCGATACCTGATGATTTAATCCTGGATATATGTTGGAATAGTGGTTCGGTTTCGTCGGGAAGCTCACTAACTCCCTTTTCCATCTTATTTCTTTATAGTTACTATCCTAAAAAATTACATTTTTTTGTCTAACATTATAGAGATTCATTTCCTGTCAGCATATTCACTTATTGACTGAGAATAAACAGATGACATCGTCCTGTCTGGTGATGGGTTTAACAAAACTCAGTCTTTTAAACGTCTAGTATGACTAAGATGTTCCGCCAGACACGAACCTCTGTTTCAGAGCTGGTCACCTAGATTGATCATAGGAAGTGAAGTAGTTGAAGAAGTCGAGAAATTGGCATACTTTGAGAGTCTCGTTGGATCACCTGGCTTCTCTCAACTGGCGTCACTTATTGTGAAGGCTAGATGTTCGTCTGCCAAACAGAGGGCTAGTATGATGGGAAGCAGTCCGCTCTTTACTATTCTATATCTGTGAAATATGACCTATGAAATTAGAAGACATGCGTAAGCTCATGTTTTTAATCATATGTGCCTTTGAAGTACTGGTTGCGCATCACAGAACGGTGGAGTAAGCAACGCTGAAGTTCCCTGTAGGGTACTCTATGAGAAGATAGAAATTCAGTTAGTCAGGCTATTAACTTTCATCAACTGAGTTCTCTGGGACACTTATTACTCAAATCATATTCTGAATGTTTGATCTTTCTCACTATGACAGAATTAGAGCAGTGTTTTCATTTTGATAGACAAGACAAAGAAGTTTCTTTTAGAACGAATTTAGGCAAAATGTTACTTGATTATTCCATGTGTAGCTAAGCCTAAAAATAATTATACATTTGTAACTAAGATTCATGTTATTAAACATTATACTCAATAATTTTCTGTCACATTGTTAAATGTATACATATATGCTTCCTATAATGATTTAAAATACTCATTTGAAGAGCAGCCAAAATAATGTGTACGGATTCCAATACATCCAAACCTTCGAATTTTGAATAAATATACATTTATATACTTGGAATATTGTATCTGAGTAAATTTTGTGCCTTCTATCCGGATATCTTCCGCTCTATCCGAGGCCAAAAGAAGCAATAAATATTACGCCTCATTTGCGTTATAAGCCTCAAAACGCTTATTCAATTTACTGGTAACAATGTAGTCAAATGATATACAAATTAAAAAAAGCGAACTAACATCTTTGTAACTTATTTTAATATAAAGTGATAAAGTGAGGGGATTTTGTTATAAATGGAGCAAGTAAAAGATTCCAAATGATAAAACAGGTGCAACAATCTAATGAAAGTATATTTTTTGGAATGTTTTTTTCAATGTCTGTTTAGCAATAATGAAAATTTCAACATTCATTGTCCATTAACACAAGTTAATTAGTATTATTCATGCAGTTAGTGTAACTACACAAAACTAAGAACCATAGGCTCAGACGAATTCAGATTCTTTCAAGTTGACTTATATTTTAAGTAAAAAGATAGCCGTAAACATAACATTATTATATCATTAATTTATCTGAACGTTGAATATAATCACCAGTTCAATTCACGTCTTTATATATTCCCCTGTTTGTCTACATATATTTCGTTTAATATACTTCTTTTTGGGTATTGTCGTTAACATTTCCTTACAATATGTGTATTATTAATATATCGATTACTATATACTAGTATATACATTATTTTGATAAAACAAACTAATCTTAACAATAAAGGAACACTTGTATCCAAAGTTTTGTAGTTTTACGTAGGCGACAGCGAAATACGGAAGTAACAGGAGGTGACTGATAAATCTAATGATCTATCTAGGAATTCCTTTTTAAAACTTACCTCATATAGACTTTATACAGATGAAAATGGAGCACGGAAGTGGCACACACATTAAAATATGATGCGAAAATAAAACAAAGTAAAATTAAAAAGGCAACGCTTGTAGTGTGAACTACATATTTAGACCCAAAAAACTACCATAAATCTTACCAGAGTATTTATTTAATAAAAGATAAAATATCTATTAATTTACCGCAATATGGTAAGCAAGTGAAGTTTACAAATCAGGGGACAGGATTTACCTGGTATTATTAACAAAAAAATTGTTGTGTAATAGGCTATTTCAAAATAATCAAGAAGAAATTTGAAATATACTTTTTACGCCTTTCTTGTAATCATAAAATAAACGTATTTCCATAATATATCTATTTGGTAAACTTACAGAAACTTAATTTTTTTTAAAGAAAATATTAAACGAGTATTTGGCGCTGTTGATAACAAAGTGTAAATAAGCATGATTTCGCTTCAGGGGTATTCTGTATTACTCCCTATTTTTGATAAGAAATTGACTAAATATTTAGCTGTCAATATTGTCAATCTAATAGTATGTTGGTCATAGGTAATGTAAGACCTACCAGGAATATGTACTGTTCCAAGTTGCTACACATTCTATATCAGTACATAGAGAGAGGAAACCAACCGCATAAAAAGCGAAGGATGTAACCTAATAATATTGATTGCGGAGGAAAATCGAATACATAGCAGTAATTAATATTACACAGACAATAAGATGATGATAAATACAAACGAAAAGAGGGGTAATGCGTTCTACTATCTTGACAGTATGGTTGTTTTGAATAAAATTATTAATTTTAAGACATCCATGTATATAACCGGACAAGAGCGTTATATATCGTCATTGCAACAAGTCTGTAAATTAATATTAATTCAAGTAAAGGTGGAATGTTTTCACGATAGAATTTTGTAAGGATGTAGGACTTAATCTCAGGATAGAGTTAAGTCGAAAATCTTGGCACCAAATCAATCTCATATAATCTAGGTCAATATATATATATATGAAAATTCATTTAAGAAACTGGCTTATGAGTGAATTGCTACCAATAAAAAACTAATTGATCATATAATTGCTTAGAGACAAAATGATGCCCTTAAATAAAAGAGGGAGAGAGACCACTATTATATTTACTAAAGCCCATCGAAACAAGTGAATAACGTTTTTGTTAGAGTACTGAAGAAGTCTTAAAAGCCAAAGGATTCATTTACAAAAAAAATACTTTTATCTGTCAAAATGAACTATAAATTATTATAAAGGACCGGTCTATTTACGGATATTATGCTTTGTTCAACACTAACTAATGGATTGTATGATAGTAAATTGATTATTGTGAATGTACTTTAGTATTTTTTTTATCACTGAATAATGTTAATCATAAATACATCGTTGATCTGAGAGAATTTTAATTCTCTTTGACCAACATAAATTTTATGAAGATAATAAATATAAACGAGGTTTCGAATGAACGCATTGAACAGTATCCAATTCAGGAGGACTATTCACATTTATAGAAGTAGGCTTATAGAAAGAATTTCTTTACGATAATTACCGTTGCAAACATCTAAATTAGTTGCTGCTAAAGTTAATGACAACGAACTTGAGTTTGGAAACTCTTCGCTTAAATAAGGTAGACACTCAAAGTACAAAGATGAAATGCCCCAAGATAAATGTGAACCACAATCATTTCTAAAGAAATACTTACAATTATGAGTTATCCAAATATTAACTAGGAATTATACAATCCACTGCGTAGGCAGTATATATATAATACTTCAAAATCATTTATTAAAGCCCAAAAAAGTTGAAGGTTGTCTGGTAGGTTAATTTACGGAAAATAACTTACATTTTTTGTTTGATGGTATTTTAGTACATTTGGTGAATGGTGTTTCCATTTGTGAATGATGTGGGAGTTTGATTTCAGATCGAGCTGTATGTGATTTAAGAAAATCACTCACACCAGCTGAACTAAATTTAATAACATTTTCTCTTGCTGATTTCATAACATAATTACTATTGATGTCATTTGTTTTATAAGTTGAGAGGAACTGGGAATTGAGATATTTTAAACTATTGGTAGGTGAAACAAATACAACTGGGTTGCAATGATTTATGTGATTACGTCGAAGGTGATATGAACTTATGGAATGAGCACTGAAAGACCTGAGCAAATGTTCTAGTTCTAGATTTTCGGGAACTGGCACCAGAGCACTAGCATTTCGATAATATGTAGAATTTCCAATTTTATGTTTAGCATTGCGAAGTTGGTCGTTGTTTTGAACAAGATCACAACGGTTAACTGGATCAGATAAGGATGCATTTCGTCCAAATGGCTCTATTTCTGCTAGAGGTGCCGTTTTTAAAATTGGGTAATCCAAGACACTTTCAGTGTCTGTACATGTTTCCGGTATACTTTCAAGCCATTTTGCAACGGCTAACTTTTCAGGTGTCAGAAGGTTGTATCCGTGACCTAAGTTGGATGTATAAATGTACATAGAGAAATAAGGAAGAAAGGAAACAGATGGATATAAACCTAACATGACTAAGAATAAGTATGAAACACAACACGTATACATAAATAAAATTCCTAGCCATAAGAAAACTGAGGAATTTTAATCTAGGACGAAACAGTAGACGAGTACCTGTGGCTTACAATGGTCCTGATGTTAGTCCGTGATAAAAATTGGCTTCAAATTCGACACGCCACAAACTCTCAACTTCAATGTATAAAAAACTCGATGGGATTATAAATGCATAAACTCAGTAAAATATTTAAATGTATATACTCATGATCTGAAAAATTGAACAAACAATCACTTACAGTTTACAGGTGATAACAAAGGCTGGTGACTAATTTCCGGGCTAGCATATTACCCTTCATGATCGTTTCTTAATCGGAAGCAATGCTTGAGCGACTAACGGAAATGATTTCACCTTAATCCGCTTGAAAATTCAAGGTGAGATTTATGAAAAATATCGTTTGCTACACGTCATAAAACCTTTGACATCCATTCGCATAGTTTCACAGAACAGATAACGTTGTTGGGTGGTGATTTCACACTATCAATAAGGATTACCAGATTCCTTCAATAAAAACTCTTGTTCGTTCAGATCATTACTTATTTTCATATGAATCTGATCATTTGGATCTTTACCACTTTAATCATGGAGCTCTTTTCATATTCTTATTTTATTAAAGCGTTTACAAACTAAACTGTCATAAATAGTTATAAAGAACTATTGATCTAATACTGAGTTCATATATAATCTTCACCAAATTAACTTCCAAGTAGCCGCGAGAGAGTATAAAGTTATGATGAAAATACAAAAATGTTATTAAACTTGGTGAAAAATTAATTTACAGCTAAATACTCTGCCGTGCAATAGATCTATAGCTTCGAATGTCAGTCAACAACTTTACTCTGCAAATAATTAATGTTAACGTGTTACATCAGAATTAGTTTAAAAATAAATCCATATAAGTACAAATTATGACAAAAATTGCTGGATAATTACTTAAATTCCAATCCTTGAAACTATTCAAATATAATCTATACATTTGATGTAAACTTAGTCCGCTTAAATAAATATAAAAAATTGATTCATTAATAAATAAAACAAACTAGTTAGACACTCAGTCATGAATTAATACACAAGAATAACAGAATTTTAATTACCGCTAAAATATATCGCTCCAGCTTGAGTTAAGACGGCCAAAGAATTATTCACATCATTTAGTGAAGGGACAGGAAGCTGTATGCCACGATATACGTCTTCAAGATATTTGACTAGACGTTCCACTGAACAACTAGGTTCAGATTGTGTAACTTGCCAAACTAGTTGACAGATAACTTCCTCTAAACGCATCGCATTAAACTGAGAAGTCTCCAACAGCCAAGAACCAACATCTGCTATAAGTATAAACATCAATCTTAGAATTTATAAGAAGGGTCGCAACATATAAACAGGTAGTATAGAAACAATTCTAACTGCTATAAACTCTAAGACAAGAATGCATAACCAATCAATTTTCTAGCATAATGAACAAATAAAACTGATCATATGTGATGGTATACGGTACATGGGTAAAATAATATAAATAAGTTAGGAGGAAATGAATAGGTACGGCAAGTTGTTTAATGTTCTTGAGTACGGTTTCAAACAAGAACCACTGTTCTGTATTCCAATGTTGACGTTTACATTTGCACATTACTCCGACGCATATAGGGAAAAAGTAATTTTGAAAGCAAATTAATGCTAGGTTACTGAAATTTATGATATATACTCAAATTCCTTAAGAATGGTAAACGTATAAGTAGCTTGGAACTTTTGACATACCTATCAAATAAATTGCTTGTTTATTTATTCTCAGTTTCCACTAGACAACTAGGATTTTACGAAAGGCTGTTCTACCAGATAATGGCGGCTTAGAAATTACGAACAAGTTACCCACCAGGATAGTTATTAAACCATTGCGTCCGTTATTTTTGTATTAAGTTAGCAAGGAGCTAACTACGCATCTAAAATATTGATTTCGAGTAAGGGGCTAACGGTATCTAATAGAAAATGGTTGAGCAGTTCCATAGTTATGATAATAAAAAATGTGTAGATTTACAATGTAATCCATAGTGTACTTCTATCTATTTACAGCTTATCAGCACTCGGATATCGGAAGACTGAACAAATATTCACTTACAATAATGTTTTAAGGAGTAAATCATCCGCTGCTGTATGGAATATATAATGAAAAATATGTGATTATTTGCGTGTAAGCAACTGTAGATCATCAGTATGGGGCTGTAGAGATTATTATGTTTTTGATTGAGACCATGAACTGATTGATGTTATATCATTATTCAAAACCTGAAAGCACTGGACGACCGTTTCGTCCTATTGTGGGACTCTTCAGCACTGCGTATACACGATCGCGTTCGCGGGATTTCAGCCCAGGGCCTTGTCCCGAGCACAAGCGCTTAACCTCTAGACCACTGAGCCGGCATCCAACCATGTGCTCACTAGTGACCAGCTTCATGATGGAACTCTCGGAGTTATAGTGAGAAGCCGCGATCAATGGAGCTAATCCGTGTCGGGTAGAAAGAGGTATCTACTTCAATACAGTGGAAGATGGTCGGACAATAGGACGAAACGGTCGTCCAGTGCTTTCACGTTTTCAATGGCGGTTTAGCATCAATCGTTTCATGATCGCAATCAAAAACTGTAGATCAACTAGCAAACAAATTCGTTTTAGTTATCAGGATATGAATTTAATAAATACATCATACGAGTTGTTTTATCCCAAATATAATTAAATATTAGCGACTTAAAATCCTTGAGGTGTAAAAAGTTCCACCAGACGGAACAGTATCATGTTTAGTTTGTAGATATTTGAAAAGCTATTATGATCAGTACTATCGGGTTTGCACAATAATGTGTTATTTCTTTTAATGAACCCAAATCTCTGGTTTTGTTTAAATATGCTCTAACAGAGAAAACTAAAATAACTAAACGGGCAGTTATTCGAGATTTGTCAACAAACGCTGTCCTTAGACCTAACGGAATGTTCGACCTGTTTAGTAAGATTAGCGTACACAGCAAAATATTCTATCAGACTCTACTTTTTGGTTGTAAATTAAAGCTATGAACAGAAGAATATATAAGGCTGAGTACTTTTGGTCACCAACAGCTTTAAGGAATTAATTTTACTTGATTATACAATCAGGAAAATAAAGATGCCATCGTTAAAAGGATATTAGGTATAAGTTCTCACGAATACTATATGTGATCAACAGAATGTATTATGAATCACATCATATCTGATACGTTTAAAAAAGAAAAGTAACTACAAACTAACTGAAAACATACACACTGAGTTGATTGAGAAACCAAAAGGAGATTTAAGTTGACCTCTATCCCATGATAACTTTATGGTTTGCAAATGTGCGGAAGATCCACCTATTAATAATAAGTATGGTTCAACATGACCAATAAGATAACAATTTTGGATAGCTTGAGAAAGCCATGAATTATGTTGATGTGTGACGTTGATATACTTGAAGGAAATAAACAAATCAAACACATGCAAAGTAAAGCGTGACGGTTGTACGTGCTGACGGAAAGTAACTGCAAGACATCTTGCGCGGTCTGATGAGAGGGACATGAGACTTTTAATATTCCGAACAATTGTTAAATCATCTGTAAGAAATACGTTGAAAAAGTAAAAAATAGCAACTAGAACTTCTGTAAAACACTATGAAATACATGAAGCCACTGTTATCCAATTACTTGAATCCTTAAACGATTAAACGTTAACACTCGAACTACTAGTTACAGGAAAAGCACGGCAAGTTACAGGAGGTTAAATTGAAAATTAAATAAACTGTGACAAACTTGGCACAACAGGGGTTGAAATATAAAAGTATTTTGCTGCTACATGAAGTTATCGTACTATTGTTTTTGTTAATGTAAGCAATCCTTCGGGGACAACGATTACGAAACTCACAGTAATCAAACGCCCTTACCTAGAATAGGACATGTTCCATATTTAAGAACCGGAACTGATTCCAGTGACCCAATGTACATCCAACTCTTTACAGCCAGATTAACACCATGGCTAAGTCTAAGACCTTTACACTAAAAATGAGTACGAGACACCCAAGAACTCTGACCCTCGGTAACTCGTTAAAGTCTCTAATCATTGAGTCAACATGATTTCGCCACTATGTTCAGAATAACTGTGCAAGCATCTCATACTCTAAACAAAAATATACCGATTAGTCAGTATTCACTGCACACTAATTAGTGCATCAAAATAAAAGCAGGTCAGTCTGCACATGAGGAATACTTGGGATGTACAAGTAGACTTAAATGGACGACTTTCGGGAAGCTTATAAAATACAAGTTATAATTAACGGACTACTTTGATATACACGTATTAGCATAGAAACTGACACATTATTGGATTGTAACTAAGAGGCAATTAGCGCATACTTCTGAAAATGCTTACGGTGTTTGATTTAAAAACATGCATGCTCTAAAATGAAAATTTCGATGTTAATCAGTATAAAAAGAGAAAAGGCCTAAAAAGCTGGGGATGGGAAACAATATACCAGTTTAGTGACTCAGACCTATGGCTAAATTAAATCATAAGTGAAAATGTTCAGGATAGTTTACTTATTACTGCTAATGATTAGTATAATTATGTTAAATACATATGGTAACACATGACTGGTAAAGATTTAAATCTCTACCATTTGGCAGTTGCCAACAAAAACCAGTTTGTGAATGAGGAAGACCCTACTTCTGATTTAATACTACGCTATGTAGAGCGGTGGAGAACGGCAGATGTTGCGAACATCGTGAGAGAGAAACAAGCCCCCTAAAGCAATTCGAGCACGGCTGTGCGTAACGACCTTGAACTGTCCCTGAAGTGACCGATTAGAATTGTGGGTTGTATACGATGTATTTTTATGGAATTTGTATAAACTGACGGTTATTCTGTGCCTGATAGAGCGATTATTGCGAACTATAAATACAGTAAGTTCAGTCGAATGGACATGGAGGATCCACCTAGGAAAGTTGGAAAACCCTTATTACAAACCTATGGTGTACATGAGCTCCAAGATCCTGAGGGAACAAATGGCGTGTGAACCAATTTTTGGTCACCACCTGCTCCGCTTTAGACACCCAGGTAGTATCACAGTCTACACATAAATTAAGTGACTTGTGTGGCGCATATGTGTTTGGTGATTCTTTATACCGATATTTATGTGTTCATCTAAATCCACCTGCCTTAAATTGGACTATTCCGGGAATTCTTGGTTTGCAGATCAGTTCGAATACGTAGCATTTTCATAGTGGGATCGCTATGGGACCTGCGATTGGACAGTTGGGTTTTTCATTCAAGTTTCGAAACTTCAGAATTACATGGAAAATTTCGAAACCGACCAGGAAAGATGTTAAAGATGATACGATTAATCTTATGAGCCATAACTGTGGCGCATATCAATGCACCTGTCGTAATGAATGCCAGCAGCTTACAGAAAATTTGGCATTTTCATATAAGTCTATGTCACTTCCCTATAAAGTTCTAAAAGTACTATCAGGTCACGTGTAGTATACAAATTTTTAATGCCATAAAAGAGAAAAATTTCATAGGATGATTGGTCACGATAATAAGGTTGACGAGTTTACACTGGAATCAAGGAAACAAGCCTCGTAGCGAAAATTTAGTAACCAACACGAATTCCAGCCAAACGTTTGAATGGTTGTTTGAATCAAGATACCCAGTATGGTAAGAGAGCTTGTACAAATTCTGAAGTGTTAATTCCAAAATGCTAAAAATGCATGCACTCATTGAGGAAATACACCTAACTGAATTCCAGGATATCAAGAATTTCACTACAGTACTTAGTTGTCCTAATACCCTTAGTACTCAAGCTCATATGGACAGGCGTTCAATTAACGATTATCCCCATTTGCATTAAAACATGAGAATCAATTTCTCGAAGAATTGCAAAGCAGTAAACAAGGGTGAGCACGAGTTCGGTAAATGTTCGTCATGTGGTAAAATTCATTCATGTAGTTCGTGTGCACTTCGTCATACTATATGCTCCGAGTGTTGTGAAATGAAACACATCAAGTCGATTTGTAGAACTACCATTCATTTGTAGTGGCATTGGACCATAACCACACAATCCTCAAAGCTGAATACGAGATTACTTGGAAAATAGATATTCAATATTTAACGCGAAGAAACACCTAACGGTGGAGAAGGCGCGAATAATGAATTAAACGGAGTGAATCACAGTTGATCGAACGGCATGGCTCGGCCATGCAGGCGTGGTCCCTGCTGAATGTTATCTTATATCTTCTATTCATATTAAATGTATAGTCCTTTCTCTAGCCTAACCTTGTTCTACATAATGTACTGGTAATTGATACGATACAGTGAGTTGATGTAGTCGATGGTGTGACTTCCACGTAAGATCTTATAGATTAGGCAGTTATATTATGACGAATCTACAAATTTAGAATTAGGTCTATTATTAGAGCAGCACTAATATCATAGACCATAATTCTACACATTTCGCTACTAGTGATAACATACTCTGTAATTGCGATCTTGTCGATTCGCGAGGTCTTGATAGTCACATATTATCCTTACCTAAATCTTCCAGTAATTGAAATCATATCCAAAAACGGTTATATTTGTTCAGTGGTGCTTTTCACAGTTTTGTTGTTGACACTAACAGTATCAAATCCATCATTTGAATAATGTTATCTAGGGCGCGTCTCATCGGGTCTCGTTGATTTGCCTATTTCACGCTCAATCAGCAGACCAAAGATATCGGGTTCTCTAATGGTCACAGTGTCCAGAGTGTGTGTGTGTGGGGGGAAGTCACGTAAACTGAAGAGAGCATCTCCAGGGTACAGACGTCGCTAAAGTAATTTGAGAATACCTTAGCTTCACAACAGTTGTCTCCTACTAATTACGTAGTATCGCTGTCTTCGTATAGTGCTGGGGTATCGTCTCTTTTCTTGGTCCTCTGCTTCGTGTATGAGTATAAGTATTTATAGTATTCCATAGACTCCTTAATAAGCCCTTCCTCATACAATCTTCTAAACCCGAGGAGGTTTGACATAAGTATTTCGAGTTTCCGGATACCAACATTTTGTCTCGTTAGTACTCAGTAGTCTAGATTTTCCCCACAGCTTTTTTCTCTTGTAAAATCTCTCTAGTGAAGAAGGGATTAAATTTCTTTACAGAACGTCAGTGATGAGTTTATGGGACTCTTCGATGTAGTCCGAAAAATGTGGGATGCAGTAACTTGTATGTACAAACTTCTGAATGCCCCCATACCGTTCAAATCAGGAATTCTTGATCTGCTGTTCGATCTACTGAAGATGCAGAATATATGAGTTTCTTGTGTATTTTCTTCCAAGATGTCTTGTCTGATTTGTGCTGGCACATTTTCGTTGACAACGAAAAGTGAATCAAAGGCCAGAATCGCGATTTCACTCTTAGTTTTGGGTGGCATGTAGTGAAGGATTGTTACATCACCTTTATAATGGTTTCGTCTGAAGACTATTAAGGATGATTCCTTGTCCGGGTCGTACCTGGTCGCCTGTTTCACACGTTGCATTATAGCACATGAGATAACCGCATCGACCAGTTTCTGTTGGAATTTTGCCACACTTCAGTCTCCTAGATTATTAAAATTGACCGCGTGTTGATTTAAGTCTCACTAAGATTATGTATCAACTCCGCCTGTAGCTCTTATACAGCTACTGCCAGTCCCAAGTCCGTGTAGAGAAGGAGGGTTGGGCATGTAATCGACAAAGCTATCCCGTAGAAAACGACGACTGAGACCAGTTTTATGAGGGGCTGCATTCGACTGTAGGGAAGTGACCAGGAAAGGACATGGCTATTCTGATGACAGACCTAAACGCCAAAGTCGGAGTAGACAACACTGGGTATGAAGATATCGTGGGACAATATGAACGGACTAGGAGAAAGGAATGAGAATGGCGAGAGATTTGGAAATCTATGCGCATTCAACAAAATGGTTATCGGTGGCACTATTTCCCCCACAAATACATACACATAGTTACATGGGTCTCACTGGATCACACTACATGGAACCGAATCGATCATATCTGTATCACTGAAAAGTTCAGAAGGTCAGTGGAAGAGATGAGGACCAAGAGAGGAGCTGACATAGCTTCGTATCACCGTCTGGTGGTTGTCAAGAAGAAACTAAAGATAAAGAAGCACTGGACAACTGGAGAAACAACAACACAACGGTTCAATACAACCTATTGACAAACTCGACCAATTCAAGATAGCGCTCAACAACATGTTCCAAGACTAACACTATCTACTCTAAGAAGAAACTACTATGGAGGACCATAGTAAAACGATCGAGGAAGCACTAACTTCAACGTGTCAAGAGGAGCTAGACCGCAAGAAGTGTCATCATAATAAATGAATCTCCATTGAAAACAAGGAAAAGATTCACGAAAGGAGGAACAAGATGACAGCAATTAACAACAGTCGAAGAAGAACAGAGAAACTGAAGGCACAAGTTGAATACATAAGAGTAAACAAGCAAGTGAAGAAGAGCATTAGATCTGACAAGCAGAAATGCGTCAAAGACCTTGCAACGACAGCATAAATAGCTACTTCAGAAGGAAATATGAAACAACTATATGACAACGAAGAACCTGACAGGGAAATATAGTAAGGCAGAGAGATCGACCAAGAACAGAGAAGGTAATCTGGCAAGACTGTAATCTATGGACGAACCAATCGGATACAAGATGACGAGTCACGAATTTGGACGCAAAATTCATCCATATATTTGGCTCAATAGAGTTTTAGCATTAAAGCTGATGTCAATTAGTGATAAAAACCCTAAATGTAATTTTTAACCCTAACTATCAACTGTAAATGAAAATTCTAATTGGTTTATAACCGTCGTTTAGCCCTAATTAGTAGTTGTCCATTCTCAACGTCACTTCAGCGTCTTTTTTTCGTCGTCCATAAAGTAGGTGTGTTACCTATGGACTGGAAGGACGCAATCGTCACTCCCATACATAAAACAGGTCCCCGACAAGTTCCATCGAATTACAGACCCGTAAGCCTCACCAGTGTTGCAATTAAAATACTGGAAAGAATAATCAAACGGACCATAACGGCATTTATGGAAACCAATAACTTGCTGAACATGGCACAACATGGTCTTAGAAAGGGTCTATCCTGTACAACAAAACTCCTTATAGCTAGGGAGTTCTGGATTAATGCGCTAGACAACGGAAACTCAGTGGGTGTTGTCTACATAGATTTCAGCAAGGCTTTTGATAAGGTGCCAACTAATAGACTGCTATTGAAGTTGGCAAACCTTGGTATTGCCGGACCTCTTTTAAAAGGGTGTGAAGATTTCCCAGTAGGTCGTAGACGAAAAGTAAGAATAAATTCTAAGTGCTCCATCTGGAGACCAGTACTTAGTAGAGTACCCCAAGATTCCGTCCTAGGTCCTTTACTTTTTATAATGTACGTTAATGATTTTACAAGTATAGTACAGTCTCCAATGTTATTATACGCTGACGATGTAAAAATTTGGCGAGTAATAACTGGAGACAAAGACGCATTTACTCTTCAGGCGGACTTAAACAATATGATAAACTGGTCTAAAGAGTGGCTGATGCCTATCAACTCGGAAAAGTGTGTCTACATGCACTTGGGGGATTCAAAGGTTAATACGTACAACATAGGGGATGTGTCATTACCCGTAGTTCGGTCTCATAAGGATCTAGTGGTGACAGTGAGTAATGATCTTAAGACGACGGTCCATTGCCGGGAGGTCGCAGCCAAGGGGTTTCGGACCCTCTGGGCTTTAAAAAGGACATTTACTAAGTTAGATACTACCATGTTCACCACGTATACACATCCTTAGAGAGAACTAAGCTAGAGAACTGCGTTCAGACTGCAAGCACCTGCTTAAAAGGTGATTCCGATATACTAGAAAAAGTGAAGAGGACAGCTACTCATGCAATTCCGGAACTCCGGGGTTTGTCATACAAAGAGCGACTTCAAAAACTGGACCTCTTTACTCTGTCCTATCGAAGATTAAGGGGAGATCTAATTTCGATGTATAGAATACTGAGAAATGATTTCGGACCTAACTTATTCTCTCTCTCTCTTTCCACTATATCGGGACACCTCAGAGGACATAGCGAGCGAGTGGAAAAGCCAAGAACGAACAAAATACCCGTGGCATACAGGTTTCCACACCGAGTCATCAATACTTGGAACATGCTGCCTGAAGCAGTGGTGTCTGCACCTTCAACTGACTCTTTCAAGAGAAGACTGGACACTCACAGAAGCATATTAGAAAAGGAATAACATAGGCCGTAAGCCTTCTGTCCTTAATACACAAATCTAAATCATCGGTGGTTGGTTATTCGGGCGTAGTTAGCTAGTGTTGTCCAGTAAAGCTAAAATGATCAGCTTAAATATTAAAATTTGCAAATCCACTTATATGGATGATTTATGTAACAATACAAATTGAAAGTCTATACTGGTACCTAAAATTCGAGAAAAAGGGAAATCATCAGCAAGAATGTCTTTACAAGACGAATTCACGGTTGAACCTTCGCAAACATGATTTCAGGCGTTTGATTGAACCACCTAACAGTAACCATAGCATCTGACAAATATCACATTTCAGTAATATATTTCATGGTTATAGAGATATATGGTTTGGTTCATAAAGAAAGTTTTCAGAAGGCAAGCCTCTTGGCCTCTGTGAGTATTAGTTTTACTTCATAAATCAATGCAGGATCTTCATGAATCACACCATGAAATATTTGAACAGCCTAGAATATGTGGAATGTTTGAGTTTGAATGGGCGGACTTCATAAGGACAACAAAGAAAGTGCGTTCATATATGCATTTATCATATCCAGAAACTTGGCGGAGCATACTGGATCTATAATCATGATGTTTTGGTCATAATAGATGGAGTTCCACTAGGTTCGGAAGAGGATCTAGCGAATTGGGCTGAAAGGGAATTCAACATTACTGACTATCGTCCTATGACATTATACAGCGCATTGGCAGTTGATGCCTATCAAAAAAGACTACTTCGTTTTAATGTAAGACTGATTCCGCACAAAATGTTAAATAACTACCCTATAATTATTTAGAGAATATATGTTTCCATGCATATATCAATCGATGGGGAGAAGTGTGGCATTTTACTACTTGAGGTATGATAACTTGTTCAGAAGTCGAAGTCTTAGTTATACTCTGACTTTGTGCCAAAAACATGTGAAAATTTCAGGTCATTGTGTACTGGCGAGTATGGAGTGATTAAGAAAAACGAGGTGGAGAAATATAGAATGAATTATAAGGGTACAAAATTTTTCCGTTTGGTAAGAAATGGATGGATTCAAGGTGGAGGTACAATAGCTATGCAACCTACTTTGCTTTAGATATTTTGTACAACAGAGGAAATGATGGTCGTTCAATCTATGGTCCAGTATTTGAAGGTAATTCACTTTCGTCAATTAAATATTAACCTTCACAAGTACTAAATTGGTGTGTTCCCCACCAAAACATTCATGCTTTTTTTTATTTTTAACTTCATAAGAGACCGTTTTCATGTACTGGGTATAAAGTATAACTTTGTATAGCTAGTATTTTAATACCGAAACCGGTATTAAAATGTTTCTAGATCGCTAGTCCGTAATGAACCGCAAATTATCTCATGTGTTCAGAACTACCAATCACAATGTAAAACTTCCGTTGTTAGAACACTTTTACCTTCTGTTACGTGTTCAGCTAATTAGCTGTCGCACAAATGTAAAAGTATACCAGACAAAATTCGCAATCGTTATATTTTTCACGTTCAGACTGGAAGAAATTACTGTTAGTTGTTTTCTGAGAGTTAGAAGTAGATATAAAAATTCTCTAAACCCCTAAACTACCTTAGAAAAACACTAGAATTATTAGAGTTCATAACCCAGGAATGTTTCTCAGCGGCATACTATGCACCTGCAAGTGTATATTTATATGAAAAGTTATAAAAAGACACACAAACAACCCACGCTCAGGGGAATATTCTAATAGTAGTTGTTGTTTTACATTTACATTACCAATTGCGAACGTTCATTCATAAACATTTTCAAATGGTGAAGGCTTGTGTCTGTTGATCTAACACCATTAGATGTATGCGCTTTGTTTTGTTCAGGATATATATATATATAATGACTTATTATTACTGTCGTAATTCACTTTTATTGCCTCCTGGTTCTATGTGCTTGAAATACATTATTCCTTAACAGTTGATGTTGTGACTCTTGTTTTACACTGTTGAGAATCGTAGCACCGAAGTTAATTAGTTATACAATGTCAGCTAGCATAGTCAAGCATTTGGATAAAATCTAAATTTAAAAACGGTGACCATACCTTATTTAGCCTATTTTCTTTGGAGCCACCTTATTAAAAGTATGGGTTGTTTAATTTAAAGGCACTACTTAAGTATTCATTTCAAATGGGCGTTGGAATGTTTAAATCTATAGTTAATATAGAGGTCACGATACTATAATTTCACAACACCATAATCTATATGAAACTTATCCCATTTTCATTTAGAATGAAAGGAACTATGCAGTAATCCTCTCATTTACTTTATGTTATGTACCGAGAGAACTTTAAGGACAAGTAACTACCAAGGATAGTACATCACCCAATCCAAGTAAATATAAATCAGTGTACAAACTTTGTCATTCTTACTTTTCAAGTCTAAAATGTCTTGATAGGTAATAAATGTAAATGACGTGATCTAAGTGGTTGGATTATACTATTAAGTTATCAGAAGTTTAAAATCGAGAGAAGCACGATTTATCACACCCCTATATACTTATTACTGACAACTGAATATTGGTATTTTCGAGACAAATACAACTTAATTAAGAAAACAGACGACATTCGGCAAGATATCTTGGTTTGTGGGCGACTAAAGCGGCTTTTAACTTACACTTTCATAGGAACTCCAATTCGATAAGTGTAACAATATCTCGAGTTTTAGAAAACAGGGGATCAATTATTATTAGTTAGCAAGTTGCTTCAGTAATTATTCTTCCCGCAGACACTCATAAAAGCTTTAAACCATACGTCTAATTTCCACCAACCAAGATGAAAATTATATCATCAAGCATGATCGACGCGGAATTCTAAGTATGGCTAATTCTGGACGTCACACAAATGGTTCACAGTTCCTCATTACACTGGCACCAGCTGAATGGATGGATAACCGCTACGTAGCATTTGGGTAAGTTTTGGCACTTTGTAAATGTGTTGCGATGACAGATTTACAATTGGAGTTTGAAGCTTCTACATTTTTTGACGCCTGGAACTATAAATTAATTATTGGTATATGGTGTCTGATTTATTTTCAATCAATATCTTACAACTTTTGATTGTTTATTGTACAGTGGAACGTGATAAGAACGCTATAGCAAATTCAGCTGAACGATTTCATAATTTTGTTCGCTTCACTTATCTCTAACACTATTCACAGAACCCGTATCTTTACCATTTTTGGTCAACTTTCAGCAGGCACACTAAGGAATCGAGAGCGAAATATTCCTGTCTACATTTTGTACTATTTAATGGATGCAGGATTAACGAAAAATACATATTACATGATGACAGAGGTATACTTCCCTTTGGTAATTCTCAAATCCTGAAATAGCAAAACAACTAGACGTAAACACTATATAGAAAACGACAGAGACCCAATGAAATCGTCCTTACCATTGTATTTAGCAACCTAACCAGGAGGTTATAATGTATGCTCAGAACGTTAACGAGATGATTTTATCCGTTATGCTCACAAAACCCACATTATTTGAATTTCTCACAAGGTACATATAATATATGATCTTCGTTACTTTGAGTGATAAAGACTCAACAAAAATCACTGAATCATAGGTAGTATATTATAGCACCAGTTGGAAAGTTGTATGTAAGCTACTTGGATGTCTTTTTATTGCACTGAAACCCCAGTTAATAATTCAATCAACCTCAAGTCAACATTATTTTATAATTCGCTAGTCTATGCTTTTGCCCTTTTACCAGTATTTATATTACTTGATGACAGATCACCAAGATACACAGATTTAATTAACAATTTCCGATGTTTACCTCTATTGTCAGCAGTTTTATCTAACATCACATGTAAACATTTTGATAAACATTGATATTGTTGATCTTCTGTTTTAGGCGTGTAATTGAAGGAAGTTTAACTCTGGATAAAATGGAAGAGGTCCAGACTCATTACGAACGCCCAGTGAAAGATATATGTATTGAAAACATCAGCGTTGTTAATCCCAACGAATTAGCGACTAAAATTGCCTAAAAAAGTCTCGAAAATACCAGACGGAGTATGCACACTTGTCACTATAGTATATTAAAAATACAGCACTTATATATACCTTTATGACATTTTTTAATGATATTAGCAAACTAACCGTCAAAGAAATAAGGTATAAAACAGAAGAAACCAAATAAAAAGTAATGATGAACAGCAAATTGATGATTCTTGTTCGGAAGTACAACTTATTGTAATTAAACTTTTCAAAAAAGAATAGGTACTGTGATGAGATACGCTATACCGGAGTACAAAATGAGATAGTTATGAATAAATAAAAACCACTTTGTCTGCTTAGGTGTAAAAAGAACCACCTACAGAAACATAAACACATAACTACATATCATGGGTGAGATGAGTTTATTGTAGCAGAAGACGAGTTCGCGTGTGTTGTCGCACGACGGGTGACCAGATATATGGTTAAGAAAAATATTAACACAATCAGAAATATCACAGTGATCAGAAGGAACTTGTTTTGAAGAATTCTAAAAGGGAAAGAAAGTGAAAATAATCTAGAATCACAGATGAGGAGGAAGTACATAACCTAATGACAAATAACTAGACTGCTTACATATGAATTTTATGTCCTGAAGTGTATGTATGCCACTTATTTGATTAGCACCATTTAATATTAAGCAGATGACTGCCAAATGCAGACTAGAAAAATTCAAAAAAGAAATATACAAACTATAAACGAATAACTTTTCCCTAATACAAGATAAGGAATGGAGCTGCTACTGCAACGTTTTGTGTGATACTACTACCCAACTTTCTATGATTTGAACTAGAATTTAAGCATTGTAATTTGTTAACTGTTCTGATTGCTTTGTGCCTGTTGCTATTCTCTTAGCCTCAATCAGTAGTGATTTTCAAGATAAGGAAGTTGGCAAATAACGTTCGAATATTTTTAAACAAACAACATAATCCGCACAACAGTAATGATCCCTTACTGACATCCTAAAACATGTACTTATTCATTTATTTTATAGTATGCGATAAGAAATTATGAAATTAAGATTATAATTGGTATGAAATATGTAGGCTCATGTATGTATAAACATTGAAAGATTTGTTGAAATATCATAACCCTTCCGCGTTAAAAACGGAACTAAGTGACATGGTATTAATTCACTTGAAAACACCACAATAAATGCGGCAAATATATATAAATGTTTAAAGAATTTTAAGGCTTAATGTAATGGAGCAGTAAAAAGGATCCATACAACGTGTTTTTAACTCCCTCTACACAATATAATATTCATACTTCATACTCAGTATCTGTTACAACGTAGAACCTCGTAAGTAACTAACTATCTGTTTCACAAAAGTACTAAGTAACTATAGACAGTTCACATAGGTTCCGTTTCACATAACCTTAATAGTTTAGCACCATATATACCAAAAACCTATTTCACTACATTGCCTTTCAGTTTGCTCTCAAAAAGAATGGCCTCAGATTCTAGCTGTACAGAACTAAGTTCTATAACTGCACAAAGCCTCAAGCTATGAGCTGGTGAAACCAAAGGGACTAGGGAATATTACACATGATTTTATTTCTCTATCAAATCCCAACAAAAACTCTGGACCGTAAACGTGGATAATTTGTTATGAGTAACAAATTCATGCATTAGAAGAAAAACTGGTCAGTAAATAGGTTAACGGCGCGTAATATGTGAAACAACTAACAAAGTTTCTGTCTCTGAAAATGCCTATGACTTGTTGAAAATATAAGAAATGATAGTTACCTGCGAGTCATTACTGAAAGTATTCGAGAGCTCTTTTTCAGATCAGAATCTGCCTGACGAAGCTGTGAAAGTAAAGTGAAGGATAATAAATAAGTTTTCACAATGCTTCTGATTAAATGGGCTGTAAAAAGCTACTTAATAGGATGAATTCGTAAAGATAGTATAACTTCTGACTACTAATCACTATTTAAGATATATTTTCAACATCATTCGGGCAAAATGCACCGCAGTGTAAACTACCACGAAAATTCTGTTCTCTTGAGATTTCAATCAAATGTCTTCTTATGTCAATAAATCCTCGAAGTAGTACACAAGATCATTGAAGACAAAAGAAAGATGAAAGAGATCTTCAGATATATAAGACCAATGCTTCTTGAACTACAATACTAATCACTCATCTTAAATATTGAAGGAGTTGGATTCTTGTCACTTCCTTTAATGAGATGCGGGGCAACACGATTTCATCACTAGAAGTGTCTACATTACACCTACAGTTACGCTCTCGTTATGTTAAGTGATTAAGAAGAAATAAAGGGTTATCAGTGTTGAGTGATTGACTAAGATGATTAAGTAGACTATGTTGACGTTAGGCTGGGACTGAGAACAAAGGATGTACACCATTAGGACATATTGGTAAGTGGCAACAGGTAAGGCCTGATTCTGGTTATCCAGATACATCTTGTGATGTTGTAACACAGACAATACACCAATTTAATTTTTGACAAGAGATGTGAGTTATGCTTCACATGAAAGTCCGAGGTTTTTGGTAAATGTATACCATATATCCATCGGTATATGATTAAGTAAACGTTATTTAACAGGTTGCTGAATAATAAACAGTATTAGTCAGTTATCAGAGATGCAGATACGAGAAAATTAGGAATCCACTTCAAAATAATTGTGGTAATTGGTCCATAGTTAACTCTTTTTACTACGAAAAATGTAATATTACTTAACTTTTATCAATCCTCTATTCACTTGTTTCGCTTTTTAAAAAATTCCATTTAGACAAATACATATACTGAATTACAATTAATTGCCAAATTTTGACGAGAAGTAAACTGCTAAACAGGTCGATTATAATGATAATGGATAACAATAAAATATGATTAAAAACCGAATTAACTCACCCTGTCTCTACTTTTTTGAAGTTTTTCTCGTTGCTCGCTTAAGTCTTGTAGTATATGACCACCTACTTCTTCTGTTTCCAAAGCAACTCGCACACCATCTTCCAATTTGGTAGTAGTCCGAGATATTCGTTCAGTGTTGCTCAGAAGTTGAGCTCTCATGTCTGTATCAAACAAAACCTCTTCGTGTAAATTGTCCTTATCATCGGAACCGCATGAATCCTTATGGTCAGGGCGCCGAACGGCATACCGCGGTCGCCGCTTGAAAAAGTAGAAGAAATAATGCAAAGGAAAATTGAATGGTACGTAAGCATATTGCATATTATTTAAGGATTCGTTTAGCTCAGCACTAAAATATAATATATGATAAATAACCGAAGTCTATAAGAAGTGGAAAATAGTTTTTAATTCAATATACATTTCATACAATTTTCGGAAAATAATTTTAAGAGATCGATTAACTTCGACGCAATTACTAACTTTTAACTATGTTTGAAGGCTTATTTAATAAAAAACATAACCATGTTAGAGAGTGTCATAAACGTATAGTTTACAGAAAGTATAGCACTCGTATACATTCCAAAAAATTATTTGCATTGAATTTTTTGTGAATGGTATACTTACCAGAATATATATGATTTTTGACTGTGTCGGTATATATACTATAATCCGACGGTTTCATCAACCAAGCCTTAAAATGACATTATAGCACAGAATCAGCCTGTTGAATATGTATGAGAACGTAATTAAACGAAAGACGTGATTGAAAATTCTAAATTCAGCTGAAACATTTGCCGAAAGTAACTAACACTTATCAAACTGGGTGTTTAGAACCAACTCCACAAGAGAAACCATGAGAAAGGAACAGGTCCGAGAAAAAAGGAAAATAAGCCTATTCATAATAATTAGAATATTTGGTGATATGGGGGTACACGTGATCAGTGGCACAATATATCAAGCAGTATGAAAACATCTGCAAATAAGGTTGAGTCGGAGCATTTTGCTGTTGTTAAATAGATATCTTTTATACAAAATAAAACGAAACCAGTTCGCTACAATCACAACCAAAGGAAACAATAAAGTTCAATCTTGGAAAATATGGACTGTTTTCTGTGATGATGAATATGGGGCAGAGTGTGGGGAATAGCTTGACGTAAGAAACAAGACGCTAGTTTATTATTCGCAGTCTCCCTTACTCGCGGCCACTTTCAGCTTGCTCATATGTAATCATTGTTTACTATTTTATGGCGTGATACGGTCTGGTCTACCTGTTTATAAAATATATGTCTGAAACATACATAGTTGAAGCTGGCCACTGATTTCTGGGCTTAATTACAGGGTGAAGAGAAGCCAGAGAGTGGTCGATCAATAAGAACTCAGCAGTTGACTCAAGGTTATTAGTACTGAACGGATTTCAACTGGTCTTTTTTGTCACACGAAGTTAGCGTCCATGAGTCACAAACACTTCCATATGGTATGGTATTTCATAACTTTAGTACCTACTACTTTTCTCACCATCCTAGCGTCCTCAAACAACAAACGATATGGAGACGCTGAGTTATACGTTAAACATCACTAAACCCAAGACAACAGTGTTCTAAGACTTTTCCCACTCCTTAGACATACATTACAGAACTTCAGAATTACAAACACGACGTTAACTTGGATACAACTAATACTTATGAGGTAATGATGATAGGACACAGAGAGTACTCGAAAATCCTCGGTTCGGAGACTAGACTTAAAATTCAATTAATACAACTGTCTAGACCACGCACTTGTGCACTTAGTCTCCAGTGACTAGAAAAACTTTACGGTGAACCCTTAGGTAGATCTTATGAATACAAATAGTTTTGATTTTGGCTGCATGCAAAGTGATTCCGTCTGCCACCATAATCAGTACCTAAAAGCAACCCATTTACACGAACCTGAGAATATCTTTAGTGGCTTGTTAAACGTTGTGAGCACTGCAACGGGTTACTTTTAGTTCTTTAGAAGTACTTCACATTTTGACAATTTAAAGTTTATGCTTTTCATTATATCCGTGTACTAGGACTGATGCGGTTGCATGATGAGAGGTGCAGTATCTTTATGCTTAATATTGTACAAATACGTAACAACTTATACGAAAGATACATAAGGGTGGTAAATATGAGGTAGTCAGTTATACGGCTAAGCCGAGACATCGATCAATAACTGAATACATAAGCCACAGATATTTCTATAATTAATGACTCGACTGTCTCATCAAACCAGTCAGTCAACAAAGAACAGCAAGCCGAAAGCATGAAAAGCAATTTTAGGAATATAATAAAATCAGAAAATTCTTTCACTTCACAAACAATACCCTGAGTCGCATATTATACGCTATTGATTTGTGTGTCAAGACAAGGACTACATAAGCCTGATAGATAAATCTGGAACGTGGTCTTAGCCAATGGTTGTAAATGATTCAAGAATGATTATTGTCATCACCCCGTATAGCATATGGAAGGTAGCTGGGATGAGTCAAACTATCGAATGATCTCTATTATACTGCAGAAAAAATTAGATAAATGGGCGAGACTCTAATTGATAGACGAGCCAATCAGAAGTGTCTGAGAGATTTCAAGGTCACTGCGCCAACTTCAGTGCTTAATGCTAACATACGATCGACTCACAGGGAATTTTGTACAAAACGTGATAATTGAGCCGCTATAACAAATAAAACTGTGAGACTATAGTTTATGGACGAGTCAGTCAGGTATAAGATAACATATCTTGGATTTTGGTGGGAAAGCCTTTATTCATTTGGCTAAATAAATTTCTGGCATTATAGCTGATGTCAGTTCGTGATGAAAACCCTGTATATAATTCCGAACTAAGGCAAATTATGATCCACATATAAGAAGTGTATCCACTTTTTTCTTTTGCTTTTTTATTATATATATATGCATTAAATCACATGTGATTTACCAACTGCCTGCAGGCAGTCTATAAGATTTTTTCATCCAGGTGTCCTCTAGTTTTCCTGACTTCATAGCAATAATTACATTTCATATGTGAAATTCGTTCAGAAAAAACTATCTCTTGAGGGTTGAGAGAAACATACTTCCTGAAAAGTTATACAAGTCGAACGACTACAATCATTATTTCTTGACACAAGCTGATAGAACCATTATGAGGTGCAGGATGTCTATCAATTAATGCTCGTCAATAAGCGATTGTTCACAGTAGATCTTTTAAACACAATTTGCGTAAAGATATAAGTTTTTAATTATTACTAATTCTAGAATGAATAAACCTAATAGTATACTGTACAGTATACTTTTGTATGTACAAGAGCAGCCATAGTACTGAAGCACAACTACATAAGATATAAATAATCACAAGCCAAATGAGAAATAAAATAAGGAAAAGGCAGAAAATTTTGAAAATATTTAAGTACTAGAAAAATGCTTACGAATTCTGTCGTGAGTTTTCCTAATTCTTTTCGGTAACACTCAAGCCTATTTTGAAATTTGGGACGGATGTCAGATCGCATTTCCTGAATTTCCAGAGACATCTGTTCAATTAACTCCTTTGTCTCGTCAAAAAGTATTGACACATCATGTACTTCTTTCGCCCTTTCACCTGACATAGTAGATAAAGTTAATGGTTTATCAATCAAAAGTCTAAAATGTTTTACGGAACATACCACCACTTAACTGGGGGATTTTTCCTAGCTTGAATGTTATGTCGCTAGTCAGATTCCCATACTGTTTCTCATAAGACTCGAACAGTGACATCGTCCTTGATGTGAATTTCGCGCAAAGGTCAATAAAGTTTCAAACTAAATGTCGCTGTCGAACTTAAGAAGTCGTCATATTCAGAGACATCATAACACGAAGAATCTCAATAAATAACACCATTGACCTAAAGGTTTTTATCTATTTAGGCAGTGGTTCAGATGGAACCACAGGACATTGAGGATTAAGGTCCGAGATGTTTTTCATGGTCACTATGTCATTGGTAAACGAGAAGATCGCCTTTACAGTGAGCATTAGGTGGACTGGTTAATATGCGGTACAAACCAATTGTGGAACTCACGATTACATTAGCATAGAATACCTTAAAGTCACTTATTTAGAAAGAAACCTTATTTATGTTGACTTCCCTCCTAAACAATAGAACGATAGAAACTCGATGACCACACTGCCATAGCTAATAATTGTTGACCGCAGATAAACTTTTCTAACATCCAATAACCGACCCAAAACAACGTTCTTTAGAGGAAGAGTAAGTTTTCTAGAACGCTTTGTTAGTTAGGCCCATAACCAACCAATAGAATCGTTACTTAAACCCCCGCCACGTCATCTCGTCTGATGTGTCCGTAGACTATCCCTGCTGCATGTGACCTTCCAAGTGAAGGACATCACTGTACTATTATATGGCCCATAATTTTTATTCATTTCGATAAGACACGCAATACTGGTAGGTATGTTTACGAGTTTCACCTAATGACTATAATTCCTCTAAATATTGTACCAATCGGTTAATTTTTACAATTAGAAACAGATAAAGTCAAAAGTCAAGTGGCCCATGTTCTAACTATAGCTTTTGTATAGACTCTGAGTCGTCAATATTGCGTTTACATTTCTAGTAGAATATCTGTAGGACAAATTTAATCCTACACACTTTAACAAGTACTGCACGTACGACGATCAGATAAGACGAGAAAAGTGACAAAATTCACATGTTTTTTTGTTATTTTATACCAAATGTGCTCGCTCAGTGTTTTTAGCGAATAAGCATTAGATAGCATAGACAGGACAACACTATAGAAGCTTCTTGGACACTATGGCGTGCCTGAGAAGATATTCAATATCATACGGAATTCCCATGATGGATTAAACTGCAAAATCGTGCATCGAGGACACTTGACAGACTTGTTCGAAGTAAAGACAGGTGTCAGGCAAGGTTGCTTACTCTCACTCTTTATCTTTCTCTTGGTGAACGACTGGATCATGAAGATGTCAACATCTGAGGGGAAGCATGAGATACAGTGGACAGCTAGGATGCAACTGGACGATCTGGCTCTTGTATCACACACGCAACAACAAATGCAGGGGGAGCCGACCAGTTTAACAGCAGCCTCAGCGGCAGTAGGTCTCAATATACACAAAGGGGAAAGCAAGATTCTTCTACACGACACAGCATGCAACAATCGAATCACACTTGACGGAGAAGAGTTAGAGGATGTAAATACCTTTACATATCTGAGCAGCATCATTGATGAACACGGTGGATCTGATGCAGATGTGAAGGCGCGGATCGGCCAAGCAAGAGCAGCATATATACAACTGTAGAACATCTGGAACTCAAAGCAACTGTCAACCAACACGAAGGTCAGGATTTTCAATACAAATATCAAGACAGCTCTACTGTCTACTGGGGCGGAAACTTGGAGAACTAGGAAAGCCATCATCAAGAAGATACAGGTGTTTATTAACAGTTGTCTACGCAAAATACTTCGGATCCGTTGGCCAAACACTATCAGCAACAATCTATTGTGGGAGAGAACAAACCAGATTTCAGCAGGGGAATGAATCAGGAAGAAGCGCCAGAAGTGGATAGGTTATACATTGAGTAAAGCACCCAACTGTGTCACAAGGCAAACCCTCACATGGAGTCCTCAAGGCCGAGGGAAAAGAGGGAGGCCAAAGACCACATTACGCCGAGAAATGGAGACAGATATGAGAAAAATGGATAAAAATTGGATAGAATTAGAAAAGAAGCCCCAGGACAGAATGAGTTGGAGAATGTTGGTCGGTCGTCTATGCTCCGTTTGGAGTAACAGGCGTAAGAAAGTGAGTATAGCACATGGATTTTTAAGTCAATGAACGGTAACCGCATGCTGCTTGACATAAGAGCTATCAGAAGAGTGTTCACCAAATGCAAGCTCGTGGGGTTTAAACTTCTGGTTGTCCACATCTTAATGCCATCACCACCCTATTAGGGTGGGTGAGATGTAGTGATAAATAGATTCTCAAACTAAACAGTTACGCTGACATCACTATATTTACTGAAGACACCCTAGCTGAAGGCGTTCGTTCAGGCGACAGAACCAGATCACGAGTAGGTACGTCGTGCTACACATCCCTTTCATCTATTAGCGAAGTTAAACTAAATCTATCGATATATCAATAGCTTTCGAAATATATCTCCGGACTCCTAAATTTCTGACTTCTGGTTTGACTGGACTGATATCCTTCAATTATAAAGGCGTTATGTGTAAAAACTTCAAACTCCGAATACCACTGATATACTTAGACTCAGCAATTCAACTGTCCGTATAATCAACACTATTGCCTATAAAATATAACTTATTATATTTTGAATTCACATTGGATTGATTATTTTTTTATTCGGTACCAGGCAAAGATCAGGCTCAGTTGATATGCCGACTGATTCGTAAATAAAACTGGGCCTATCTGTCCATCTTTTTTAAGAGTATAGATTTGTGCAGTTTGTAGAACTATGGTCTACTATGATATTGGTGCTGCTCTAACAATAGACCTAATCCTAAAACTGTAAATTTGTCATGATGTAACTGTCTGATCTATAAGGTCCTACGTGGAAGTCACATCATTGTCTACACTGATTCATCATATCGTAACAATTACTAATATATGATAGAGAACATACTCAGACTGGATACAGAACAATATGGTTAATATGGATAAAAATAACGTTACATAAGTTAGACCACGCCTGCACGGCCGAACCATGCCATCAGATCAATTTGAATTCATTCAACTCATTGTTCCTCCCTTCTCCATCGCTGGGTTTTTCTCTACGATAAATGTTGAATATCTATTTTCCCAGTTGTTTCGTGTTTAGCTTTGAGGGTAGTGTGGTTAAGGTTCAATGCCATTACAAATATGATATTCGAAAAGGTTGAAATTTAACCGTTTCTACTTGTTCGAGTTTGCAGTGTGTTATAACTCTGTTTCTTCTTACGGTTGATGACCCAGCTATTCCTATTGCTTAGTATTCTCGGACACCGATTCACTCGACAAGTCCCCAAATCAGAACACGGTTGAACAGGAAAAAGATTATATTCCAAATAGCAAGTCAGAAGCACAATAAGGGAAAACGTCGGTATATTTATAGTTTTTACATAAGAAGATTCCAGAGTATTCTCCGACTATCGACTAGTGCTGATTGGATAAGAATCAGCCAATCAGCGTGTACCAAAACAATCATGCATTGAGCATGCTTTAATCTAGTCTATGTCGCGCTAACACAGTGTTTAGAGATATCTCTTAATTTTTTTAAACACTTTAAAATTGATATCTATTCATAGTTTTAATTCGTCAACAAAAAGATAGGCCGCATAACTGAGCTTCCCGTGGAGATAAACAATAAATATAAAACATAAGATAGGACTTTGAATGATGATTCACACGGCACTAAACTTCAAGATTCTTAGGAATGTCCTCAATATTAAGTGTTTGACACCGCTTTCGCTCACAAAAAGCTTATAAATGAAAGATACAAAACCTAGTCACAAAATAAGTTATGGACAAAACGGGTTTGAAGACATATTATGAAAATAACTGATATATTCAGAAGAAGGGAGCTGGATTCCAGGATATCAAGAATTTCACTACAGTACTTAGTTGTCCTAATACCCTTAGTACTCAAGCTCATATGGACAGGCGTTCAATTAACGATTATCCCCATTTGCATTAAAACATGAGAATCAATTTCTCGAAGAATTGCAAAGCAGTAAACAAGGGTGAGCACGAGTTCGGTAAATGTTCGTCATGTGGTAAAATTCATTCATGTAGTTCGTGTGCACTTCGTCATACTATATGCTCCGAGTGTTGTGAAATGAAACACATCAAGTCGATTTGTAGAACTACCATTCATTTGTAGTGGCATTGGACCATAACCACACAATCCTCAAAGCTGAATACGAGATTACTTGGAAAATAGATATTCAATATTTAACGCGAAGAAACACCTAACGGTGGAGAAGGCGCGAATAATGAATTAAACGGAGTGAATCACAGTTGATCGAACGGCATGGCTCGGCCATGCAGGCGTGGTCCCTGCTGAATGTTATCTTATATCTTCTATTCATATTAAATGTATAGTCCTTTCTCTAGCCTAACCTTGTTCTACATAATGTACTGGTAATTGATACGATACAGTGAGTTGATGTAGTCGATGGTGTGACTTCCACGTAAGATCTTATAGATTAGGCAGTTATATTATGACGAATCTACAAATTTAGAATTAGGTCTATTATTAGAGCAGCACTAATATCATAGACCATAATTCTACACATTTCGCTACTAGTGATAACATACTCTGTAATTGCGATCTTGTCGATTCGCGAGGTCTTGATAGTCACATATTATCCTTACCTAAATCTTCCAGTAATTGAAATCATATCCAAAAACGGTTATATTTGTTCAGTGGTGCTTTTCACAGTTTTGTTGTTGACACTAACAGTATCAAATCCATCATTTGAATAATGTTATCTAGGGCGCGTCTCATCGGGTCTCGTTGATTTGCCTATTTCACGCTCAATCAGCAGACCAAAGATATCGGGTTCTCTAATGGTCACAGTGTCCAGAGTGTGTGTGTGTGGGGGGAAGTCACGTAAACTGAAGAGAGCATCTCCAGGGTACAGACGTCGCTAAAGTAATTTGAGAATACCTTAGCTTCACAACAGTTGTCTCCTACTAATTACGTAGTATCGCTGTCTTCGTATAGTGCTGGGGTATCGTCTCTTTTCTTGGTCCTCTGCTTCGTGTATGAG